CGAACTAAATGTGAACATACAAATGGATGTTCAAATGTGAAAATAATCATATATAAATTGAGGTTCAGGTGGGAAAATGATCTGGAAATGCAGGCTTTAATGGGACATGCAATGATCTATATTTGCGGGAGTGTTACAGCTAGCATCAGCTACAGTAGCTATGTTTGAGGACACCGGAGGCAACCAAGAAACATGCTGGTATACTTGGCTTTCATGGGATACACTGGAGATATGTCATGATATATGCAGATCTATGATAGTCATGATGTGGGTATGTTTGACAATCTTGGAGAAAAGGAAACGAACATCTGACAGTTTGAACCTCATGTTTTTGATTGTTCAGTGTCGCAGTTTTGGTGAAGGTGAACTCCGTTTGGGATTCCCCAACAGTTAGTTTCATCTCTAAGGCTTTCTATGTCTTGTTGCTTCAGCCCGTGTCCTGTGTCCCTTTTAGCAGTGGGCCGCCCTCCAGGTGTTCCTATCAGCTGGACCGTCTTCTTGGTGACACCGCTGGCTTTATGGATTGGATAAGTGGCGATGCAGGCGGCGAATGCTTCACCCACAGATTGTGGATTTTCACATGGGAAACCGAGAAATCCATGTATTTTTCAACAAGGGCCATATTTGGTGGGATTTTTTTGGAGAATTGGAACATATTCTTGGAGTCATATATCTCGGAGACTTGAAAAGATGTCGACTAAGAGAGCCACATGTTGGAGCCGTGGTGGGAAAAATTTGAAAAAACATGTTGATGGGCGTCCCATTAATCACCATAAATCTATGACATTCTGTGCTAATAGTGGGGTTGCGATAGACTAATGACCAATGAAATGCCAACCAAAACTCTGGGTCACCATTGGATGGGTACTTTGACTACTTGATATATGTGTTTGCTCAAATGGAGATATACTATGATCGAAGGAAGTTTAGAAGTCAATCTTCCCACAATATGGGCAGATGGAAAAGCAGAGGTGGGAAGAGTCAGAGAAGAGAAGAGAGAAGAAGAGAGAAGATCAGAGAAGAGAAAGAGTCGGAAGAAAGAGGATGCAGGTGCTCGAAAAGGTAGAAAAGTCGCGATTCACTGTGGCTCCGGAGGGTCGAAAAGTAGGCTCGCTAAAGCGGCGGGTGCGGAGCCATTTGGCCAGATGAGAGATGAAAAACTGCACGCAATTGTGGCGCAAAGCACATTTCGAAGTCAAAATGTAGAAACCACCTCATGTTCAGGGCACTTTTGGAAGTTGCGATGTCGAAAAAGTGCACGCCATTGTCTCGCGAAGCAGATTTTGAAGTCAAATGTAGAAAACACTTCACGTTTGGAGCACTTTTGGAAGTTGAGATGTCGAAAAAGTGCGCGTCGTTGTGGCGTGAAGCAGATTTCAAAGTCAAAATGTAGAAAGCACCACATGTTCGGGCCACTTTTGGAGATTCGGATGTGGAAAAAGTGCATGCCGTTGTGGCGCAAAGCACATCTCGAAATCAAACTGGTAAAAAAACACATCCCATGTTCGGACCATGTTTGGACATTCAACCACGCCAGACAACATAACAACGACAACGACAAGGACAACCACAACAACAACAAACAAACGAACGAACGAACGAACGATCGAACAAACAAACAAACAAACACACAAACAAACAAACAAACAAAAAAACAAACAAACAAACAAAGAAAGAAAGAAAGAAACAAACAAACAAACACACAAACAAACAAACAAACAAACAAACAAACAAAGAAAGAAAGAAACAAACAAACAAACAAACAAACACACAAACAAACAAACAAACAAACAAACAAACAATGAAATAACCAAACAAACAAACAAACAAACAAACAAACACAAACACACAAACACACAAGCACACAAACAAACAAACAAACAAACAAACAAACAAATAAACAAACAAACGCACAAACAAACACACAAACACACACACAAACAAACACACAAACAAACACACAAACAAACAAACAAACAAACAAACAAACAAACAAACACACACACACAAACAAACAAACAAACAAACAAACAAACAACGAACAAAACAACAAACAAAACAACATACAAAACAACAAACAAAACAACAAACAAAACAACAAACAAAACAACAAACAAACAAAACAAACAAAACAACAAACAAAACAACAAACAAAACAACAAACAAAACAACAAACAAAACAAACAAACAAACACACATACAAACAAACATACAAACAAACAAACACAACAAAACAAAACAAAACAAAACAAACAAACACACACACACACACAAACACACAAACACAAACACACAAACACACAAACACACCAAACACACCAGACACACCAAACACACCAAACACACCAAACACACCAAACACACCAAACAAACAAACAAACAACCAACCAACCAACCAACCAACCAGCCAAACAACCAAACAACCAAACAAACAAACAAACAAACACACAAACACACAAACAAACAAACAAACCAACCAACCAATCAACCAACCAACCAACCAACAAACAAACAAATAAACAAACAAACAAACAAACAAACAAACAAACAACAACAACAAACAACAAACAAACAAACAAACAAACAAACAAACAACAACAACCACAACAAACGACAACAACAACCACCACAACCACAACCACAACCACAGCCACAACCACAACCACCACCACCACCACCACCACCACCAACAACAACAACAACCGCAACAGCAACAGCAACAACAACAACAAAAACAACAAAAACAACTACAGCAGCTACAACAACTACAACTACTACAACAACAGCAACTACAACTAAAACAACAACCACAACAACAACAGCAGCAACAGCAACAACAACAACAACTACGACGACGACTACTACTACTACTACTACTTCTTCAACTTCAACTTCAACTTCAACAACTATATCTACAACAGCGACAACTACAGCTACAACTACGGCTACAACAACAACTACTACTACAATAACCACAACAACTACAACAACTACAACCGCAGCAACCACAACTACAACTGCAACTACAACTACAACGACAGCTAGAACTAAAATTACGACCCAACTACACTACACTTTACATCATTACACTATACCACTATATAGATCTATATAGCACTACCACTACAACTACCACTACAACAACAACTTCTACTACAGCTACAACTACAACTACAACATCACCCACAGCTACAACTACATCTACAACTGCAACTAAATTTCACTACTCTCCACCACACTACAAGCACAACTACAACTTCATTACATTACACCCCACTTCACCACACTACACTACCAACACACTACAACTACAACCGCAACTACAACTGCAACTACAGCAACTACTGCAGCCACTACAGCTACAACTACGACTACAATACAGCTACAACTGCAACTACAATTACATTGCACTACGCTACACACCACACTGCATCCAACAGTTGGGGTTGAGGTGACCACTGCAACCATTTCAAAAAGCGCAATTCCAACCACCTTTCGGTCCATCAGTGGATTCTCTCTGCCGTCCATGCATCACAACAACTCACCTCTCCTATAGCGTCCTATGATTGAAACTTCCGTGCGGCACTATTGCTATAATAAGTTACTTTTTGCAGGGTTCTTAGATCGGCCGTGACACGGGGCGATAAACTCCACGTTTTTAGGGGTTACGGCACCGTGTTTCAAGACTCCAAGACAAATTTGTGTTGACTTGCTAGGGAGAGGGGGAGAGAGGAAAACACAGTCGAAAGCAAGGAAGGGAAGAAAACTAAAACATATAGAACAGCGGACAGGAGAAAGAGAGGAAAAACCATCTTAGTTCAGTAGCCCGGAGGGGCCCCAACAAGAACTGAATGGCGAGCCAAACAGAGAGCTAAGAGGTGACTTGGGGATCGGTCAAAACCTAATCAAGAAGTACCATAATGTAGCAATTTTTGGGGGATGAATATTTGTGCATATGGGTTTACAAACTCTGTTTTTTAGTATGTCAACCAGTTTGCAATGGTTTTGATCATTGCCGTTGTTCGATGTTCTTTGACGCCAACTGTTTGGCAGTACAGTTCCCACATTTTTCCATTCAATTTCCCATGTTTTTCCCTACCTGAACGCAGGTGGCGCCAGCCGCGCCTTGCAAGCAGCGCTCGCTGAAATTCAGGCGGCCGTCCAGCAAAGCTTGGAACGGACCCTGCGGACCAAGACGACTTGGTCGTCAACCAAGACCCGGGCGACCGGCCGTTCCAGTGAAAATGAAGAATGGGATGGATGTTGGATATATATCTGTTGGCGGTGGGGCATGATTACGACTGCTGTCATGTTATAGCAATCCCCAAAAATGGAATATAACATCCTAGTGAAATAGTGGTAAATTACTGTTCATTTGTTCTATCTTTTAGTGGGTTCTTTTACTGGATGCTCATCTCATGTTGGAAACTATTTATGAGTATTTACGATGCCGAGCAATGGGTGGATTGATTTTACATCCGGGCTGGGCTGTTCATCATCACCGCCCCCCGAATTTTCATTGTTGAACGAGAATATTGACAGTGAACGATATGGATCTATATATGGAGCCAAGTTGATTGATTAAAAGAACATAAAACATATTTTGTTGCTTACCCGGTACCATCTTAGGAGCACAGCTTCCTGGATGGGCTGAAGTCTCACTTCTTGGGCGTGCAAGACCTTCGAAGGCAACCTTCATCTTAGCGGAAGCCCATCGCACCTACACGCATGCGTTTGCCCTAACTACAGCATTCTACAGCCAAATGGGTAGCTAGACGCATGCAATTCAATGCAGTTCACACATCATCGGACATCCCTCTGGCAATAATATAAACAACACTAATTCTGACCAACAGCCCATTCAAAGATGATTTACTGATATTTACCCATCATATAAATGTGGTTATTTTCCATGGCAGAGTGTAACAAATCAATGTGTATCACATGATGAATGTCCACCTTCTCACCCATTTGGCCGTCGCTGCATCCATGGGGAACAGCCATGGTCCGCCGCAAGCATTGCCTTACGCGCACCCAGCAGATCTTCTGCGAGCTGACCAAAAGGTGCCGAAGATAGGGTCCTTTTGGTCTCAGGCATCCCTGGATCTGAAAATGGGACCGGACTATACCGGACTGATATACCCACGAGTGGCCACTTTTCACATGGGACATGATGATTAATGTGGGATACAGATTAGTGTGGGGATACACTATTGTGTCCACAGACCTCAAAATAATTGTGTAACTTTGGAAATGATCGAGGGTACAGTTCTGTGCCCACTGGATTTTGGTGTATTTTTTCAGTTTTTTGTTTTTTAAGTTTTAAATTAATTTCTATTTTTGTTTACTTGTTTTAAAATGATAATTAATTATCTTTTCAAAATATAATTAATTATTCAATTTTTAATTTACCAAATTTAAACATTACATTATATATATTCAATTTTTAATTTAACATAAATAAATAAATATATATAATTATTCAATTTTTAATTTGACAATTCTAAACATTATATTTATTTGTGTCAGGATACACTATTGTGTCTTGGTCTTGTGTCTGGGGTACACTATTGTGTGTTGGTCTTGTTTCTGTTCAAACATTTTTCATTCTTTCATATTTTTAAAGCTTTTTTCTTTTACTTTTTATTTCCCATCATTGAAATTTCCAGATGCCTCCCACAGAAAATTACATCCAGTTTCACAATAGTATGGGGATACACTATTGTGTCCAGCTGCTTTCCTGAGGTGATGATTGTTTTGTTTTTCAATCATTTCCTTTACCTTTTCCTTTGCTAAAGTTTTTTTCTTTTAATTAATTACTTTCTTAGTTTCTTTCATTTGAAATTCTCAGAAATGCAAAGGTTCCCAAAATATATGATGCCTTAATAAAACCCAATTCAAAAACATCACTCAAACAATTTTTCAAGGGGGTAGTCCATGAGCAACCCTGATCCACAATAGTGTGGTTTGTTTGGGGGGTACACTGTTGTGTTCAGATGCTTCCTGGGGTTATTTTTTTTTCAAACATTCCCTTTACCTTTTCCTTTGCTAAAGCTTTTCTTTTACTTCCTGAACTTTCTTAATTCGTTTCTTTCATTTGAAATTCTCAGGAATGCACAATTTCCCAAAATATATGATGCCCTATTAAAACCCAATTCAAAAAGATCACTCAAACAATTTTTCAAGGGGGTAGTCCATGAGCAACCCTGATCCACAATAGTGTGGTTTGTTTGGGGGTACACTGTTGTGTTCAGATGCTTCCTGGGGTGTTTTTTTTTCAAACATTCCCTTTACCTTTTCCTTTGCTAAAGTTTTTCTTTTACTTCCTAAACTTTCTTAATTAGTTTCTTTCATTTGAAATTCTCAGAAATGCACAATTTCCCAAAATATACGATGCCTTATTAAAACCCAATTCAAAAACATCACTCAAACAATTTTTCAAGGGGGTAGTCCATGAGCAACCCTGATCCACAATAGTGTGGTTTGTTTGGGGGTACACTATTGTGTCCAGATGTTTCCTGGGGCGATTTTTTTTTCAAACAATCCCTTTACCTTTTCCTTTGCTAGAGGTTTTCTTTTACTTCCTAAACTTTCTTAATTAGTTTCTTCCATTTAGAAATGCTAATTTTCCCGAAATATATGACACCTTATTAAAACCCAATTCAAAAACATCACTCAAACAATTTTTCAAGGGGGTAGTCCATGAGCAACCCTGATACACAATAGTATGGTTTGTTTGGGGGGTACACTATTGTGTCCAGCTGTTTCCTGGTGAGATTTTTTTTTCAAGCAATCCCTTTACCTTTTCCTTTGCTAAAGTTGCTTTCCTTTTCATTAATTACTTTCTTAGTTTCTTTCATTTGAAATTCTTAGAAATGCAAAGGTTCCCAAAATATATGATGCCCTATTAAAACCCAATTCAAAAACATCACTCCAACAATTTTTCAAGGGGGTAGTCCATGAGCAACCCTGATCCACAATAGTGTGGTTTGTTTGGGGGTACACTATTGTGTCCAGATGCTTCCTGGGGTGTTTTTTTCAAACATTCCCTTTACCTTTTCCTTTGCTAAAGCTTTCCTTTTACTTCCTAAACTTTCTTAATTAGTTTCTTTCATTTGAAATTCTCAGAAATGCACAATTTCCCAAAATATATGATGCCCTATTAAAACCCAATTCAAAAACATCACTCAAACAATTTTTCAAGGGGGTAGTCCATGAGCAACCCTGATCCACAATAGTGTGGTTTGTTTGGGGGTACACTATTGTGTCCAGATGCTTCCTGGGGTGTTTTTTTTTCAAACATTCCCTTTACCTTTTCCTTTGCTAAAGTTTTTCTTTTACTTCCTAAACTTTCTTAATTAGTTTCTTTCATTTGAAATTCTCAGGAATGCACAATTTCCCAAAATATATGATGCCCTATTAAAACCCAATTCAAAAACATCACTCAAACAATTTTTCAAGGGGGGTAGTCCATGAGCAACCCTGATCCACAATAGTGTGGTTTGTTTGGGGGTACACTATTGTGTCCAGCTGTTTCCTGGGGTGTTTTTTTTTCAAACAACCCCTTTACTTTTTTCCTTTGCTAAAGTTTTTCTTTTACTTCCTAAACTTTCTTAATTAGTTTCTTTCATTTGAAATTATCAGAAATGCCCAATAAATATATGATGCCTTAAGAAAAACCCAATTAAACACCATCACCCAAACAATTTTTCAAGGGGTAGTCCATGGGCAACCCTGATCCACAATAGTGTGGTTTCTTTGGGGGTACACTATTGTGTCCAGATGCTTCCTGGGGCGATTTTTTTTCAAACATTCCCTTCACAGTTTCCTTTGCTAAAGCGTTTTTCTTTTATGGCATTTCTATGGCATTACTATTGATTTTCTATGGAATTCCTATGGGATTTCCATGATGTTTCTATGATACCTTTCAAGATTTCTATGGGATTTCTGAAGGGATGCTATGGGAGTTCTATGGTATTCTTATTGGATTTCCATTGGGTTCCTATAGGATTTCTATGGTATTTCTATTAGATTCCTATGGAATTTCTGTTGGATTCCTGTGGGATTTCCAAAGTATTTCCATGATGTTTCTATGATATTTCTATGGGATTATGGTTGGAATTCTCATGGGATTTCTTTGTGGCTCCTATGCTAATCCATGCTATTTCTATGATCTTTCTATGGGATTTCTGTGGGATTCCTCTGGGATTTCCATGGTATTTCTATGATATTGCTTTGGGACTACTATTGGATTTCTATGGGATGCCGATGGTCTTTCTATGGGATTTCTATGGTATTTCTATTGGATTCCTATGGTATCTATTGGATGCCTGTGGGATATCCAAGGTATTTCCATGATGTTTCTATGATATTTCTATGGGATTATTATTGGAATTATCATGGGATTTCTTTGTGGCTCCTATGCTATTTCATGTAATATCTATGATCTTTCTATGGGATTTCTGTGGGATTCCTCTAGGGTTTCCATGATATTTCTATGATCTTTCTATGGGATTACTATGGGATGTCAATCGAAAGTAAATTGAAATCAAATGAAAGTAAGTTGAAATCAATGGAAAGTAATTAAATTGAAATCAATTGAAAGTAAATTGAAATCAATTTAAAGTAAATTAACATCAATTCAAAGTAAATTGAAATCAATTCAAAGTAAATTGAAATCAATTTAAAGTAAATTAACATCAATTCAAAGTAAATTGAAATCAATTCAAAGTAAATTGAAATCAATTCAAAGTAAATTGAAATCAATTGAAATCAATTGAAAGTAAATTGCAACCAATTCCAAGTAAATTGAAATCAATTCATTGTAAATTGAAATCAATTGAAAGTACATTGAAATCAATTGAAAGTACATTGAAATCAATTCAAAGTAAATTGAAATCAATCCAAAGTAATTTGAAACAAATTGAAAATAAATTGAAATCAGTTGAAAGTAAATTGAAACCAATTGAAATCTATCATTTTTTTTGGTTCCACACTATTGTGTGCCCGGCCCCTTGTTTTTTCCACACTATTGTGTATCCTAAATTTGTTTGGGGGGGGGAACCCCCTACACTAATCAGTAACCTACATTAAACCGGTAGATTTAGGGCGGCCTTATTTTCAGACAAAACCCACTTTTAGGTGGTTATATAAAATATAGATGCCGATACGTCATTTGATATATAAGTGGTTAGTGTTCAGGGGAAACAAGAGCAAACCTGTTGCACAGGACTCAGGACCATCAAAATCGCACTGGTTGACCCCCATTTCAGGATTTCAGGACGACAACACATTGTGTTTGAACCAAGGCTTCAAACTCAGAGAGACATTTCTTGTTTTTGATAAGGCACACACTTTTGCATATCCACACCCGCCAGCGGGAAAAAAACAACATCACCAACCTGAAAGATCGTTATAGTATGTTATAGTATGTTATAGTATGTTATAGCATGTTATAGTATGTTATAGCATGTTATAGTATGTTATAGTATGTTATAGTTTTGTTCGTGCTATGCCTGGAGCACCGGTTCGCTCCTGAATAATCTATAGATTTTTTTGCAAGTTTTTTTTCCCTTTGTTCATCGGTAGGATTGTTTTAATCATGATGGCTTACCAGAGGAACGAGTCCGACTCTTTTGGTGAACAGTTATTTATGATGATTGATTTGGTCAGTTAAGTCTCGTTAAATCCGGATTCTTTACGGTTAAACCCGAGTCAGTGATAATCAAACTCACCTTTTTGGTCATCAAATCATGATTAATCATTTGCTGGTTAAATCGTGTTAAATCTCCATTTTGATCCATTTTGCATCACGTTGGATCGCTAAATCCCACTTTGTTCTGATGGTGAAATCCCAATTTTGCTGGTTTAATCCAATTTTCTACGAGTGAAGTCCAATTTTCAGTGGATTAAATCCAACTTACTGATACTTAATGTGGGTTTCATGCAACTTTTGGATACTTTCGGTTGCTTCAATCCCCAGTTTGGATGGTACGTTTCCTTGGACCCTTGGCCCTCCAGTCGTCAGGACGAAGATAGCAGGGCCGAGCTGCGAAAGCTGGTGCTGGAGGCGTCCGAGGACGTCTGGATCCCATCAATCCCTATGAAACACCCCTCAATCGTCTCAAATATGTGTAAATCCATATGTAAATCCCATTAAAATTCCCTACTAAACCAAGGACAACAAATGGTTTTTTCTAGTGGTACAAAATGACTATTTTGGGATTACATGTGATTATATGTATTATCTATTGAGGATTATTTTGGGCTAATATTCTGTAATGGTGTTAGTTCATATTGATATCTATCTAAACCCATGATTATTCCAGTTATAATAGTTATCATCTTACTATCCCATGACTTATATCCCCATCAAATCCCATGAAATGATAGTTGAATCCCATTAAAAACCAATTCATAGATTAAAATCCCACGAAATCCCATTGACAGTCCATTAAACCATTAATTATATCGTCCATTTGTTGATGGTTAAATCCCATGAAAATCCCACTAAATTTCCCTTAAAATCCCATAGTTCAATTCCAATTTCTTGTCGTCTCTGGTGCAGGAAGTCCTTGGCGCGCGTGCGGCGCGCTGCCAGGAGACCTTGGGCGCACTGAGCGATGCAGGTTCGGTGCCTGACGGGAGGTCAGGACCGTTAAATGGGATGGTTTTTACCCTCTGGTAAATTAACATAGCTATTGAAAATGGTCATTTAGTTCGTTGATTTACATATTAAAAATGGTGATGTTCCATAGTTTTTTGTATGTTTACCAGAGGGTAATTATAGGGGAAATGTTCGTATATTTCGTAGGAATGAATTGGATTTTTATGATGGTTGAATTGGACTTGATGGTGATTGAATTGGATTTTATTGTGATTGAATTGTTTTTTTGGCGATTGAATGGGATTCAATGGATATTTCATCGGCTGTTAGTGGGATTTAATGGGTGTTTCTAGGATTGATAGGAAGATATGACCGGGAAATACAATCAACATATGGTTTGGGTTCGTTTGAAGACGGGGTATGCCCTTCAAATGTCAAGTTTAATGAACATAATTAACATAATGATGATAATCCATTGGAATTGGGGGCGCTCTATTCTCAGACAAACCCATTTATATATATATATATAGAGAGAGAGAGAGCTGGGATTCTTTGATACATTCTATAATTCTCTACATTCTGATTCATGCTTTTAAATGTTTAGAGAGGTTCCCAAGCCCTCAAATACCCCCTGTAACATCCTGCAAGTATGACTAGATACCCTTGGGCAATCAATTGTGGCAATTTGCGGCAATGTAAAAAAAAACATTTACATAGTGCGATTATTTTCCCATGTTTTGTCTGTAATTCAAATTGCCATATAGTTTGGGGATTTCCCATTGCCATGTTTGATTTTCTGATTTATCGCAGGGCGCATCGTCATTAAGAAGTCATCCTCACTCCAGATGATTCCTGACCGAATCCTGGATATGGGTTTGTTTCTGTATGCAGCTTGGCATACCCCAAGGTCTTTAGCCAATTCAATGGGCCAAAAACGATGGTAAACCCACAGGGTTCTCATCGAGATTTTTGAGAAAACCATTTTCCAGTGGGTAGGATGGAGCTAAGGAGCTAGGAGTATCCATATTCCTGAAATGGAGAGCCAAGGGGCTACTAAGTTTCCTATTTGATAGATTCAACATGATTCAAGTAATCAATCGCTGTACATGTCTAGGAATGCCGTGAAATCTTAATTCCTGTGGTTCCGTTTGATATCCCAGGTTATTGGCTGATCTGAGCTGTAATTCAATCCATATGTACACAAACATATACTAGGATATGCTAGGTATATCCTGTTATACTTCCCATTGAATGGCTGGTGTCATAATTTTATACCCCCTATGTTTGGTGCAACATATCTGAGCATCTCCAGCATTCCCAGCATTCCGCCATTCCGCAGGCTATGCCTGGGCCACGGCAGTCACTTGGCGAACCCGATGATTAAATTGAGGAGTTTTCGTTCGAGACTGAATTCCAAGGGGCCAAGGAGAACATTCGTCAATGTCTATCAACCAAAATAATCCCATCCCCATCCTCAATAGAACCTCCAGCCGGCCAGGCGGCAGGCAGCAGCCTGGGCGAGGAGTACAGCGAGTTACTCCAGGTGGACGCTTCGCGTCACCCGACGGGACGCGACTTGCGGCTGCTCAATGCGGCGTTGCACGGCGGCTTCACCCAGCGCTTGGCGGGACGATGGACCGAGGGGTGGCAGATGGCGATGCGGCTGCACCTGGCGTTGCTCGGAACGCGTACGCTTGGGGAACTGGAGGAAGCCAGTGGTATAGAGGGTAGCTGCTTGACTTGAGGCGGTTTTCTTTAATGCAATGGTAAGGTTATTTAATGATATACACACATATGTGTAATATATAGTTATATATATAATTATGATATTTATAAATAACTACCTGGAAAACCGTATGAACATGTTTTTTTGTCCATTATGGGTTTTACCCGTAACGGACGTTTTTTTTGTTCAATTGCGTTTTTTTTTGGTTTTTGATTGTGAAGGGTTGTTCAAATCCTTTGACAACACTGTGTTCGGACATCCTCCGACAGTTTCCAAAAGAGGAATTTCAGTCCAAAGTGGAGCAAATTGGGAGTCGTGATCGGGCACCCAAATCCGGCCACAAATGCTGCCATATTTCCCACCAAATTTGGATGTACCCATAAAATGCCAGTATTTTTTCAACATCATGTTGAAAAAAAAACAGTAAGCAAATGTCAACATACTGCCCCAAATACTGTCTCTAGACAAGACACTCATACTGTCGGAGCCAGTCCGACAAATCCAAGAGTTCAGGAAAGCTATTAACTAAATTAATCTGTAAGTAGAGGGTTTGCAGCCGGACATGGCCGTATTTGGAAAAAAACACGTAACGGACAAAAAAAATGTCCAAACCCGTACGGACAGAAAAATTTGTCTTTATGGTTTTCCAGGTATATATATATATATATAGTGTATTTTGTCAAACGATGCGCAGGAGGAAGGTTAATATCCTATTTGCAAGATTTGTTCGCAGATTTTGGTTGGTGAGCAAAAAATGGCGGAAGATCGTAGATGGATGGATGGATAGATAGATATAGATAATTAGATAGATATAGATAATTGGACAGACACAGATAATTGGATAGATATAGATAATTAGATAGATATAGATAATTGGATAGATATAGATAATTGGATAGATATATAGATAACCGGATAGATACTTAGATAGATTTGAAAGATTGTATAGATTAGATAGATAGATCAGATTAGATTAGAGTAGATTAGATTATATTAGATTAGATAGATGGATAGATAGATAGATAGATATCCCAAGAAATGTTGAGAATAATTCCCAATATACAAATCCCTCCCGATAAAATAGTAGATATAAAGACCCAGCTTGTTGCCCAACAGGTTCTTCTACCTCTTCGGTCGTTATCATCACTGGGCCCAACGCCTGTTGCGCCTGCGATTCATTTCGCTCGCCGAGCGGCCGGACCGGAACTTCACATATCGCCTGCTGGGGCTGGCGCCGCGGTGGCAGTGCATGGGATGCTGAAGGTAAAACATGGTACCCGGCCTGGTAAACATACATTACTATTGAAAATGGCCATTTATAGTTTGTTTACCAGTTAAACATGGTGATTTTCCATAGCTATGTTAGATTACCAGAGGGTATTCCCTCACTGGCCACAAGTTTCAACTATTTTCAGGTAAATGAATTATCATAACTCAGCCCGAATAAATGTAAATATTACAAGGTGGCGCCCCCCCAGTTAAACATTGATTCATACACCCTATTGGCTATGCATATGTGCCTCCCATTACTTAGCTACAGAACACTATAGATATATCTACTAAAAGCATCCATTAATAAGCCAAAACCATCAACCCTAGTTATGCTATCTACGGGGCACCAACTTGTAGACAAAATGTCGGATATGCCTGCGAGTATGAACCCTAACGACTGATATTTTTCCAGGATGAGTTGAAACAACCCATAAGGTATGGGATTTTCATTCTCGAACGCTTATGAGACTCGATTTTCATTAGATATTAGGATGCAAGATGCTTGTAGAAAATTATCAGAATTTACAGGAACATTTGCAGGGTAATTATAATTAGGATCTTCAATCCTCTATATAATTATATAGATCGCTGTGGAATACGATCCATGTATAGACGAATTACCTATAAAAAATGTGTTTTTCCATAGCTATGTTAAATTGCCATAGGGTAATTATGGGGAAAATGTTGGGATGCTCTACCTATAGTCTTGTCTTTTTTACCAGCAGCAACGGGACAGGCCAGGAGAACATTCAGAATGAAAAGTTGCTTACCGGATAATGTGATTGTGGGATGACTAAGGGGCTATGAACCAAATACATGCCCACCTAATAGGGGACCATGTTCAATAGGCCCACGCCCTTAAATTGTGGCACGCGCATTTATGAACCACCATTTTCGCCGTAGAAAACCGTAAAAAGCCAACATTGCCTAACCAATTTCAAAGTTCAATGGCTGAGTTGTCACATGTTATCATGAGGTGCTGATGGCTCAACTCCTAGGGCAGTTGCTGAGCAAAGTCCTGGCAAAACGGAGCTCAGATGAGAGGTGCCCTGGTCAACTAAGATAGCTATGGAAAATTCCCATGAAATTAAATAAATATTAGGTAAATATAATAGGTAAACCATAATTAAATCATGGTAAATATGACATAAATGGAGCATTTTCCATAGCTATGTTAAATTAACAGAGGGTAGTGGGGAATTGATGTGGACATAATATGGATGCATATATTATAATATGGTTATGATTAGACAATATATATATATAGGACACAGAAACTAACTAATCAATATGGTAGTTTGGTGTAATGATCTGAAGATTGGGTACACCCACTCACCAAATTTAATCCGTATGATGATCACCAAATGGATTCTAATCAGCTGATCGGCCGGAAAATAGCCTTGACAGCGACCCCAAAATGAATCCAGTACAGCCTTGACAGCGACCCCAAAATGAATCCAGTACAAAGCACGGATTTCAAGTGGTGCGCTTAATATGAGAGGACTTGGATCAGGTGAATTGATTTGCGTCATGAAAACTGTTGGCTGGACTAAGCTAAGAGCTACAGAAATTTAGCAGGGCACCATAGGGCACCTTTGAATTTCAACGAGGTAAATTCATCACCAGCCGAGGCAGCTTGATGGCAGCGCCTCGCTTCAAGCCGCCTTGGCCGGCGCAGCCAGCGCCCCTTTGGTGCCGCGTAGCGCCCTGGGGCGGGGGAGGCTGCCACAATGCAATATTTGAGTCTTGGATGAAGGAAGGGGGAAAGGACACATAAATTTCCGGTACACCTCTATTCTGACATTGAATTGATATGAACTGATTGCATTTATAGCATTATAAAGCATTAAACATGTTCAAACCTATGAGTTCAACCTGTATAAAGGTTGGAGATTCAAGTCAGCAAACTTGCAGATGATTCAACCAAGCAAATGGGGATGCGGCCGTCGATTGATGGGGGGGATGAACATGAGTTTGTCTAGTAGCCTAAATGATGAGGGGCCTGATGGTGTTCCTTTCAACAATTGACGGGACCACGGATAACCAGGGTATTTCCGCAAAGCCATGGTTGCTTCAAACGAGGTGCCTTTTAGTCAGCAAATGTGTCGGGTTGGAAAAAACACATGTATACCAAAAACTTGATGGTAGTGACTAACTTGGATGAAACTTGTGATTTTCCATGGCATGTTTACCAGAGGCTGGAGAAACATACATGTATATATATAATTTTATATACATATATGTAAACTATATTTTTAATTTAATATAATATATATAATATAGTACAATATAATATAACATGCTTTATATAATATAGTATAGTAGAACTAATATGTATAAATAAATAAATAAATATATATATATATATATATATGTGTGTATAGAGGAGCTACGTAGTCCTCAATCCTGGAATACTTACATTGCATATCTTACATCATGGATATCCGTTGCATTTGTAAAATTGCCAAACCAGACGTCTTTTTAAACACAGAGGGTGGTAAGCACGGAGACAATCTAGATACTATATGTGAACAGACGGAAAGGCACATAAAGAAATGGAAAGCGAGAGATGAATGGATGAATGGACACATGGAATTGGATGGGTCCTATAGTAAGAATATAAGGTGGACAGATGCGTTGATATACAGATCAAGCAAATGCCTCCATGCCACCGGCTTTCAACTGCAGAGACGTCGCTCTTCTGAACGTTGTTCAGTCATTCTATCTCCATCGGGGGTTTGCAATCCATTTTTTGGGCATCCAGATTTTGACCCATGACCCACAAATCAAGTTTTTGATTCAGATCAGCAAACACCTTCTGGCCCATACACGGATGACCAGTCTGACCAGGCATGTCTTGCCCAGCGGATGATGTCACTGCCACGCCCTGCGGGCATTTGTTCCCTGGCTTTCACTGGGGCATAGGGACACCCGTGGGCATCCTGATCTTGTTTCCGTGATTGAGGTTCTGCTGGGATTGCATTGCGAGCTGGTCTGGTGGCACAGGGGTGGAGCTGCTTTGGAAGTTGTTTGAGTGAAGAACTTCAACATATTTCAACTAAATTTCAAGCACCAAAGCTTAAAGCTCTTTGGCTGTTTTTTTCAACATGCTTCAACATGTTTTAAAGAGGTTCATGGTCCATCCCAATGAACCGCTTCCACTTGATCAATATTTTAATGTACTGACTGAAACTGACTAGCAGTAGATTTGAAGAGGGCTACAGCCTGCCACTTAGTGTGGGCGAACAGTTTTTGTCTGTCTTGATCACTATTATAGTATATGATATACTCAATTTGGAGCATTTTTGTGGTGCTCCGTTTGTGCTGTCCAGTTGTGGTCACTGTTACAAGGAAGGGGAACATCCGAAAGTATATCAATGTATATTATAGTTATTATATATTATTACCACTAATTCATTCATTATTAAACCTTAGTTCTGTCTCGGCCCAGCATTGCCACGGCACCATCGCGAACGGCGGCACAAGGCCCCTTGAGTTTCCCATTCATTTCCCCAGGTGTTCGCTGAAGCCTTCGTGCCCCCTGTGCCGTGCGCAAAGCCCTCCTCAGAAGCTGCTGCCTTTGTTGCACTACGCCGCACCGATGTGATGCGGTCCATGCGGCACCAAAAAGGAGAACGCAGAGTGGTGGGGATTTCGCGTGAATGTGGTCATAGCAATGCCATCTTTTTGGTTTGGGCATATAGCTTCCCAATACCAATGGGTGCAACCAAACTGAGTAATTACCTATGTGTTCAACCTTAATCTTAGTACAGCAATCAGATGCAACCCATCATGTTGTGATGGCTTTTTTCCACCCATTTATAATCATTTATACATGTTTAAAGTTGGATTGTTTACTATTGCTTTACTAACATGATAAGAGCCAGGCCTTCGAACGTTTGATCGACCCCTTCGTCAGCGGCGATGGGGGGCCCTGTGACGCCTCGGGCCGTTGGTTTTTTGGGGACGGGGGTAGTTGCGGAAATTGAGGATGTCGACCTAGAAAATATATGTACCTGCAACAAGAGAGTGCTTTAATTTCCTGTTTATGCCTGATTAGAATGGATTGAAAACCAGAACATTTGCATTTGACACTCTTTTAATTTGTTTTCTGTGTTCAACTAGGATTAACAATGATTGCATATAACTTGAATTTGAACAGAATTGCCATTCTTGAGAGACACCCAGCCAACCAGTGGATCATCTAGAATCTAGAACAGGAGTGCAGACTATCTTGAATGAAAACGCCAAGTTGGGTAAGTCGATGATTTTGATCATTGCGCTTCCTGCTGCCAATCCCAATTTGCCACCATGTTTCATGGTTTAATCATGGTTTAATCCACATCTTCGACTCATTTTCCCCCATTCCTGGTGTAGCTCCCAGACGCTTCGACATGCTTCGACGCTTCGACCGGCGCGACGCATCGCCCGGCGACCCAGGTCTATGCGGGCGACCCTTCGACGCTGTCCGCGGAAGCTGCCACTGGCCGCGTCCAGGCGAGGACGTGGAATCCAGGTGAAATCATAATGAACCAGTAGATTCACAATCAGAATCCCAATATCAATGGATTGGTTGAAGGGAAAATCTACAGGAAACCATAGATTTTCCCAGCAAATTTGGGGTTTTCCTGAAGAGTTTCCCTTAAACCAATCCACTGATAATAATGTTACTATATTATAGTGATGAAAAATACTTATCATTATCCAAAAATAGTACTTATAATCATATTATAGATGAAATGTGATGAAATATAGTGTAGAATATAATGTTATATAGTGGATAATTATCTATAATATAACATATAATCTATTATATAATTAGTTATAATCATGTTTTTATATTATAGATGAAAAATAGTTAATATAATCCCAAGAACACTAACTATACATATATATATATATGGTTGGTGCTTTGGAACCATGGATTTTTTTTGACTTTCCATTCAGTTGGGAATGTCATCATCCATTCAGAGGGGTGGGTTGAAACCACCAACCAGTAATCAGAATGAACCAGTAGATTTCAAATCATGTATAAATCTGATGGTAATGATGATTTGGATGATGAAAATCTAGTAATTATGATGGTTTGGATTTACACACCATAGTAACCATAGAAACCATGTGTTTAGATAAGAATAGATAAGATTTATATAACATGCTTTGTAATGACCAAATGAAGCATGAGATTTATAAAGTTTGTCTCTATGCAGTATATGTACTTGTTTATTATTCAAATATCTAGTATGATGAAAATCTAGTATGATAGTTTGGATTTACAAACCATAGACACCATGTTTCGAGATGAGATATAACATGTCTTGTTCCTATAATAACAATAAATCTATCATAACCACAATGACCAGACTAACCATGACATTTATAAAATGTATACATATTTCTTTCAAAATCTAATATGATTCATCTAGTATGATTCAAGATGATCCATTGATTTTTCTCATTGTGTAAGCGTGTGTTTATCAATGTATATTTACATTCGTTATGTATTTGTTTATAGGGTGAGGCCTATCAATTCTCCCTCCACTAAGGAAAAACTTGAGCGAACTTGTCCGAATTCCGCAATATTTGATAATCCAGAAAAGGCCCCAGCACCTTGCACGAACCAGAGTTGAAGTCAGCATGTTTGTGGCAGCTTGACATGCCAACATATGCCCACATATGCACACATAACACATATACAAACGTATATACAAACACGGGGTCGTAAGCTGGAAAATCATATGTGCTGATGTGATTGTTGCATATTGTTGCTTCATTGGAAGACTATGCTGCTGTTCCTGCATGGATGAAACCGAAGTTGCCAGCCCAGGTTGAGTTGCTGGGATAAGTTCACCTGCTGAACATGGGGTTTTCCAAGTGCCAGGTTTAATCTTGCCAAGAATTGACAATCCCCCAAGACATGCCTTCCAAAATGAATGATAATCCTTTGGAATCGGGAATGGTTCATCTCGGAACAAACCCATTTTGGCATTATTTTGGTTGATTAAGCTAATCTTCCAAATTCTACATGGGCCTAATTTTCATGCCATAGAGGTTACCGTTTGGTAATTTCACAGAGCTATGGAACATCACCTGGTCGCCCCTGCCAGGTGCTGGAGAAAAATGCCGGCTCCCTGGTGGTCCGGGCACCCCGATGGCTGGAGCGAGTCTGGCCCCGGATGGTCAAAGGATGAGCGGTCTCTGAACATGTATGAACCATGCATTCAAGTATGGCCATTTCAGGAACCGATTTATTGGAGGTACCCTACCATATATAAGGCCTAAGGCCTATGTAAGGGAATATCCCCACAAAATATGGCCTTATCTGGTACAGTACCTACATTTCAGGATCCCATTGATGCATGCACTATCCAAAACTATCCAAGTTTAGTGTTAGATTTTTTAAGCATAAACATGAAGCATCGAAGTTTTGGGTGTTCCCAAGCTTGGCCCCATACCGTATGTTTAGTACTGGCCACAAGGGCTAAAAGAATTCCATTCGGTTCTATCTTCTACTTTATGGCTGTCCGCAGACAATTGCATGGAACTTCCATAGTGTGCCATAGTGTACCCGGGTACCCTTCGGTATTTTGGCAAATCTATGGAACATGGTCACTTCACAGATCATTTACCCCGTAAACATTGTGATTTTACATAGTCATGCTAAATTCTCAGAGGGAAACTATATATTTATTTGATGAATCAAGCTATCGCAGCATACGTGCCATCGTTGAAAATCTGTTGAGTTGATTTAAATCGCCCATATTTGGGGTGGTCATCCATCATAGATTTGATAAGGATTCACATTCCAACTAAAATTCGAAGGATTTCCATGGGCTGGATGACCATGCGACATAAGTCCCATGTAGCTTGATCATGGCACAATCCAACAATGACCTCATCCAGAAGGTGGTCTGTTTCAGGATGACATCAAACATTGTGTTTTGCCCACGTTCACGTTGCTCAGAATGTAAACATACACAAATGCACACATATTGTCTATATATATATAGAATTATCTATATCATATATATATATATAATTATATATATATATATATCAGATGTAAACACACACATGCGTATATATATATATATCCATCATTGATATATCATGTTCACCGCAATGGGTTATCATTCTATCCCATTGTAACCCATATCAAGTCATATCTCAGATCTTGCTTCCCTTTCACGGTGAGGCTGGTGCCATCAAACTTTTCCAGGACTGAGATGATACATGCGGCGCCCATTGGTCGATGATTATAGCTATGGTTTTCGATGGCCCTAATCGAAATAGATGATTTACCCATTAACAGCATGGTGATTTTCCATAGCAAACTGTAAACGTTTACCAGAGGGTACTATCTAAAGAATTCCAAGGTATTGAACCTCCCAATTTTCTGGTTAAGCTCAGTCTTCCTGTTAAGATTTGGGTCTCTATGAAAATGTGTGTTGCCTGAAAATCCTTCATTTTGTTAGCGGTGAAATTATGTACCTTCCGGTGATTTAAAGTTGTTATCGAAAATCACAATGTTTAAAAGAAAAATCAGCCATGTTTCATAGCTATCTTAAACTATCGAAGGGTAAGTTTCCAACCAATGGTAGTGTTTTGCCAGTTAAATCCCAATGTTTGCCACACTTTGTTTCCTTGCATCATGCTAACAAATATCCCAAGTCTGTCCATTGTTTAAAAAATGAGTTTAAAGTTGGTGCTGATTATGGTTCGTTGGATGAAGTTAACACTTGAGTTTTTTCCGGATTAATTCCATGCTTTTTGTTTTTTTTTCGTTAGCTCCCAATGTTTGGTTTCGTTTCTGCTGGTGCAACATCATTGAAGCCATATTTTGCTTGGTAAAATGCAAGGGTTTGCTGCCTAAAAGCCACATTTGTTTATGTTTTTTGCGGATTGAATGACCAAAAATCTTTAAGAAACATGTCTAGACTATGCTAGACTTATTTACCCCCTAGCTGGGATGGCTTCAGATCCTAAACTGGCAGGCTATTGGCCTACTCTTGGATTTTCTCAACTTGATATTTGATTTATTTTCCAAATAGGAAATCCACCGTTTTGAAAATCCGGGCGTATCTCTACTTTTTTGAGAGAGTTCTTCGAAGCCCAGCTACCCTCCAAAATTCACAACATACATAACCTTGGAGATGGCGATGGGGAGAGAGATAACACAACATTGAGACTACTTTTGAACCAAGACATGACATAAAATGACCAGCCAAAACTCATGGGCCCTGGTTCGCTAGGACCGAGCATCTAAACCTGCAGAGCCTAGGGACCCGCGCCTGCCAGAGGTGAAAGGCCGGCTGTTGATGTCAATGGCCATTTGCAGGTGCCACAGCCGAGCACTGTACAGGCAACCACTACTGCGGCTTCCTGGAGTCACAGATTACCAGACATTATGTACAGAAATTATCTCAGTGTCAGAAACCTTTTTGAATCCGCCTCGATTCTGCGGTGAAATGCGTTTCATGCCTTGATCCGTGCGAGGCCAAACGGTCGGATCCTTTCGAAAAGGCCTCAAGCAGTTTAGCGATGCGCTGTTACCTGGCCATCACTTTGGCTTGGCAGATGGGCGTAATAACCTTTTAGCAGGGCATCAGCAATTGTGACAAATGAAAACAAAGATGAACCGCCGTCAATATACCCAATGATGTGTTTGGAAGATGATTTTCCTGTTGTGCAGGAATGAAAAGGACATTGTTTCGAATGATTTGTTTTCAATGCTTTGTTTGAACTTGTTTGTTTACTGCCAGCAGATCCAGGTGCCTCAGCACCCCAAGGTGTGAGGACGTGGCGAAGCATGGCAGCCCCGTTCGGTTGCAGTGGAAGCTGACGAAGTTGGTATCTTGGCAGATGCCCCAACAGTTGTGTTTGTTGGCTCATAAACACACATAAACACACAAAATTCATCCAGTATGTGTAGATATGGATGGATAGATCGATAGATAGATCGATAGAAAGATAAATCGATAGACCGATGGATGGATAGATAGATGGATAGATGGATAGATGGATAGATAGATGGATAGATGGATAGATGGATAGATGGATAGATGGATAGATGGATAGATGGATAGATGGATAGATGGATAGATGGATAGATAGATAGATAGGTAGGTAGGTAGAAATACAGATAGATAAATAGATAGATAGACAGATAGATGGATAGACAGACAGACATATAGATGGATATATAGATAAGACACTATAGATACTATAGATTAGATGGGTACGATCAATAAGATAAACAATAAACTAAGGTAACTAAGATAAATAAGAAAAACAATATATATATATATTTATAGATGGATAGATAGATAGACAAACAGACATGCAGATAGATAGATAAGATAGATAAGATAAACACAAGATGAGTAATATAATTAAGATAAATAAACCAGATAGGAACAATAAGATAAATAAGATAAGTAAGATATATAAGGTAAACAAGATGGATAAGATACTGTAAATAAGATAAAACAAATAGACAATATAGATACGATAGATATGATAGATATGATAAATACACAAGATTAGGTAAATGAGATAGATAAAATAGGTAAGATAAACAAGATATATAGGATTGATAATATAGATAAGATATATAGATAGATGTATAGATAGATAGATGTATAGATAGACAGATGGATAGATAGACAGATGGATAGATAGATGGATAGGTAGGTAGATAGATCGATAGATAGATGGATATACCGATGTATAGATAGATTGATAGATAGATAGATAGATAGACAGATCGATAGATAGATGGATAGATGGATAAGATACTATAGATACTATTATAGATACTATAGAATACTAAAGGTACTATAGATACTATAGATACTATAGATAAGATAGATTTCATAAAGAAGATAAATTATACAAGTAAGATAAATAAGATAAATAAGATAACTATGAGAACTAAAACAAATAAGATACCTTAAATAAAACGATACGATCGATAGATAGATAGATCGATCGATGGATAGATACATAGACAGATAAACAGACAGACAGATATATAGATAGATAGATAGATAGATAGTTAGTTAGTTAGATAGATAGATAGGTAGGTAGGTAGGTAGATAGGTAGATAGGTAGATAGCTAGATAGGTAGATAGGTGGATAGGTGGATAGGTGGATAGGTGGATAGGTGGATAGGTAGATAGGTAGATAGGTAGATAGGTAAATAAATCGATAGACCGATGGATGGATAGATAGATAGATAGATAGATACATAGATAGATAGATAGATAGAGAGAGAGAGAGAGATAGATAGATAGATAGATACCTGGATGGATAGATAGGTAGGTAGACATATAGATAGATAAATAGATAGATTGACAGATAGATGGATAGACATACAGACAGGCAGACAGACAGACAGACAGATAGATAGATAGATAGATAAGATAGCTAAGTTGGATACAATAGATAATATATAATCAGATAAGATAAATAAGATAAATAAGATAAATCAAATAGATAAGATAAATAAGATAAACACGATATACAAGATAATTGAGATACATAAGATAAATCATATAGATAAGATAACTAAGATAAATTAGACTGCTAAGATAAATATTTGGAATACGATAGATAGGAAAACAATTTAGATAATAATATACAAAACATAAATAAGATATATAATATAGATAAGATCAAAAAGATAGATAGATAGATGGATAGATAGATAGATGTATAGATTAATATATAGATATATAGATGGATAGATGGATAGATAGATAGATGGATAGATGGATGGCTAGATAAATGGATGGATAGATAGATAAATACATGGATAGATCGATAGATAGATGGATAGATCAATGGATAGATAGATCGATCAAACGATAGATAGATGTATAGATAGATGGATAGATAGACCGATGGATAGATATATGTGTATATATATATGTTTATATTTATAAAGATAGATAGATAGATAAATAGAAAAAGAAATAGATAGATAGATAGATAGACAGTTATATAGATAGATAGATACATAGATAGATGGATAGATCGATAGATGGATGGATGGATAGATAGATAGATAGACCAATGGATAGATAGATAGATGGATAGAACAATAGATAGATAGATAGATAGATAGAGAGATAGATAGATAGATAGATATATTGATTGATTGTTAGATCAATGGGAATTTCAGGATCCTAACATGGAGGTACTGTACCATATAAGACCATATTTTGTGCGGATATTTCCTTACATAGGTCTTATATAGGCCTTATATATGGTAGGTACCTCCAATTTAGTTTGCTGAAATGGCCATTCAATGGATATATAGATAGATGGATAGATGGATAGATGTATAGATCGATCGATAGATAGATAGATAGATGGATAGATCGATAGATAGCTAGATAGATAGATGGATAGATAGATTTATATCTATATATATATGTATATATAGATGAATAGATAAACGGATGGATGGATAGATAGATAGATGGATCGTTAGATGGATATATAGATGGATAGATAGATAGAACGATATATAGATGGATAGATGAGTAGATAGATAGGCATATAGATAGATGGATAGATAGGTAGATAGATGGGTAGGTTCATTGCTAGATGGATAAATTGATCGATAAAAGGATAGATTGATAGATATATCGATAGACGGATAGATAGATGAATACATAGATCTATAGATGGATAGATAGATAAATGAAAACAATGATAGATAGATGGTTAGATAGATAGGTGGATATATTGATAGATAGATAGATGCGTAGGTAGATAGATGGATATATTGATATATATATATATATAGATATAAATATATTGATATAGGTAGATAGATGGATAGGTAGATAGATAAATAGATAGATGGATAGATTAGATAGATTGATAGTTAGATGGATAGATAGATTGATAGATTGATAGATTGATAGATTGTTTGGTTGATAGATAGATGGATAGATGGATAGGTAGATGGATAGATAGATTGATAGATTGATATATTGATTGATAGATAGATGGATAGATTGATAGATAGATGGATAGATAGATGTATAGATAGATTGATAGATAGGTTGATAGATCGATAGATAGATGGATAGAAACATGATTGATACATAGGTATGTAGATAGATAGACACGTGTATATATATATATATTATGTCCGCCATAAATCATGGTCAAACCAGTTCATAGCCAACTTGGCTACAGGGCCTTTGTAGGATCATCCCAAAGGTGAGGAGCCATGGTGCCCAAAAAGGTACCAACGGGCATTACGATATGTTACACTACGATACGTTACATTAGACATGTTGCATTTGCAATACGTGTTGCGTTATGTTACGTTACATTATATACATACGTAGAGACATACGGTCATACAGTTGTACAGTTTCACAGTTACTAGCCAGACGGGCCGGAACGAAGACATAGTCCGCAAACTTATGCAGTTCATAGCGCTTGGCTTTCCACAGGATATTGGATTATCGAAATGAAAAGGATACCATCGCCCATAGTGCGTAGTATCTACTGGTCGGTGATTTCTGTTTGTTTCTGTGGGGAAGGGGTCTAGTAGCTTGCCAAACATTGGCCCAACCAGATGGCCAACGAGCTCCAATGGAAAGTGATGAATACCCTCCCGGGTTGGTCAGCCAATGGAACGACGTTCACCACCAGTTTCTCAGGCCTACGACAAGCAGACAGAAGTGGAAACTGGCGAGTTTGGGACGGAACATGTGAGCATGATGTGGTTTTGTCGGAAAAATATTGAAGATTGGAATACCCTATGGCATATGCTATATCTACTGGTTAATCATCATTGTTTCACATGGCCCAGCACGTGTGCTCTCAAGATTGGACGGGCTTAGATATAAGGATGATCTATCCAGTGATGCATGGTTGAAAAACATTATCATCACATAGCACATGGGGAAAAACAACAGTCAACATATTCTTGCCGTCCGGAAATCTAGCAATGGAAAATTCCCATGTCCAGCATCCATGCATACACCAGTAATTATAAAGGTTTTGCATCTTAAAAATGAAGCCTTTCCAATGCCAGGAGGCTACTTGCGGCTACTTGTTGCTAGTTGATGTTGGCCAATTGGCCAATTGACGAAGCTAAGGAAGGATGATCAATGTCCATGGATCTCCCCATTGTAGCACCAATATTAATCCCATTAACCCCTTCCCCCTATACAATATTTAACCCGTCGCCCCTCCCCTCAACCCCAAGCACAAACTATTAGAACCGAACACATATCTATAATATATTAGGGCCTAAGGGAATATTAGGGCATATGTTTTGTATTGGGGGGTCGTTTGACATTCTCTCCTCAGCAGTTTGGGACCCCAGGATTTGATTGAGTTGCAACGTACTTTCTTAGAGTGACCCTCACCCACACTATTCTGACATGGTTTCTGACATACCACGTGGAAGTATATATGGTTATATTCTGACATTCTTTCTGGCATTGACATTCTTTCTGGCATATACTCCGACATTCTATTTGCCATTCTTCCTGGCATTGTATTTGGCATATTCTGACATACTTTGTGGCATAGATTCTGACAGTCTTTCTGACATTCTGTTTGGCCTGTATTCGGACAATTTTGGGTTCCGGAAAAAATATTTGATATTGAATATTTGGGCGAACTTGATGTTAGGGGGAATGGCTACTATCCGCAGTATATCCCCATTGTATCCACATTCTATCCCTATTATATTCCCTAGCCCCACGATTCATCCCCATTATATCCGTATCCATATTGATACATAACCCCATGATTTAAATCACACCCAAATTCAATTCTCATTACATTCCCACTAGATCTTGGTTTCATGATTCCCAATGATATCCCATTTGGTATTGGGAATCATTCCCCCATGATTAATGATGATTAATGGATGTCATGATGCTAAATGGATAAATCACCATTTTTAATGGGTAAATCAACTATTTCTATGGCCATTTTCAATGGCTATGTTTGTTTACCAGAGGGTAAATGATGGTAAATTCATGGTATCATGATATCCATTTGGTCACCCCTTAGACTATGCGGCCAGATGCACGTCTTGGACTATGACACGCCGGAGGGACCAAAGCGCTTGCGAAGTGCTTCGATTCAGAATCGAGGGGCCGAGTTTACCGCCGGGGCGGTGGTGGAAAAAGCTATATATGTGAAATGTGTGAAGCAACAACTCACAACATCAGGAAATAAACAAATAATGGGAACATTACTGATGTTTGTTTCGTTTAAAATTACTTTATTATATAGCTATCAAAAAAAATATTTCTCTATATTTCTAGGTATTCCATGCATGATCAGCATGTGTCCTCTTCATCCGTCCCACTAGATTGAAGGTAGCTTATGGGCCATTAGATGGGTACTGTACCATTGCCTTTGGCGTCTTCATTTTCATCATCGTAATCACCAGCAGCATCAGCATCAGCATCAGCAGCAAAATCCCAAGACAGAGAATACAAAAAAATAATAACAGTCAAACACCAGTAGCAATAAAACATTCACGGCAACAATTACAATGCTAATAAGATATAGTGCTACTTAATGCTAGTAGTACTACGAATATCAGTAACAAATAAAATAGTAATAGTGAAGATTTAAGATAATAAGAATATTTTCAATATCAAAGTGATAATAGTCATTATCATGTTCTTCATCATTTTCATCATCACTAGACCTACCATTGACAGTTGTATGTGTTATTACTATATTACCATTTCAATGCTAGTAATAGTACGTTTGCCATCATCGTCATCACCATTACCATCACCATCACCACCGCCACCACCACCACCACCATCATCATCCTATCACTGCCACTGCCCAAGGCAAAGCTTTGATCCTGACCTCTCCCAGCTACATCACTGCGCCACTGCTGAAGGAGGCGGCCAGATCATGCTTTATTTATACTTGAACCCGCATGATCCCTGGTCACGTGCATATATTATTTGTGTATGTATATATATATATATTACGGATAGACACGCACATACATATATATATATATATACATACAGACATATACACATAATACACACACACACAGACACACACACACACACGCGCTAGTCTGAGTCTCCGAGTCTGAGTTTGAGTATATCTATATATACATGTGTGTGCCTGCGTGTATCACCTGTATTTACACATGTATTTGCATGCAGGTGTGCAGTCCCGCTGCTGAAGCGCTGGAGGGGATTCGCTATCCTCGCGTGGCGGCCGTCACGGTGCGCGATGTGGATCATGACGATGTCATGATGATGTCATGAAGGTTGGAGGGTGAACTAGCAAAAATCTGGTAGTTTATCTACATTTATTGGAGCTGTAAATAACATTAAATGACATGTGTCGTTTTTTTCTTTATCTGCGTTTGTGTGGTAGTTCATTTACGTTTATAGTGGGAATGATGATGTTTTTTGGGGGAAGAATGGAATATAACCAGCCACAAGCACATTAAACCACCAACAATAGCCAATCGACAATCCCATACTCCATTTTGGTGACGGGAAAAGAATAGGGAACAAGCAGCTCTTTTGTCTCAAACCACAATTATATATATACACAACAAAGTGAGGGAACCCGAAGATTCATCCATGAAACCGGTTTCCTAAGCTATGAATTGGATATCACCCATGGATGTTGACTCCTGCAAATGGCACAAAACCAACAACACAATGCAATGTCCTTTCCACATTGACATGTTTCCCACAAAAATGGGCACAACACATGGTATATCCCCACTTGGAAGAAGCCAAATGGGTTGTGTGCAGTTTATCCCAAAATACAGGACAACTACAAAATGAATGCTTGAAGTCGTTGAAAACTGTGAACATTTCTCAGGCGGTGAGGGGATGCGGATGGTCGTAGTGAGCACATGTCGGGAGTTTACTGGGTTACCCACTTGCTTCTACTGCATTTTTATTTGCAACTGGCAAGGGTGCTTGACCGACTATGACCAACTCACTTTACCCCAACCTCTCTGGAAGGTCGAGTATCACAAGAGATTCTTGCTTGCAATTATCACTGAACTAGTTCAGGTGGCAATTGACGTGAACACCATTGTGTTGATAGCAAGAACATGTCAAACAACACCTTGCTATTTTGGATCCGATACTGTAGGGTTTGATGTCTTGGAATTGCATCGACCATGATTTCCATGTCCTGAATTTCGCGGGTAGGATTTCTAGTTTGCCTTGTGGTCAGATTGGTCAGCCACTCCGGTGCCCATTTGTTTCTGAACTTTTTGACTTATGTCTTGCGACCGCAAATGGCTTGTCATGGGGTCTCATTTTGGATGCTGCCTGGCCCTGCTCAGCTAGGGTCAATATCTTGGGTCAACTCAGGTCCGTAATGGCAATAGCCACATGTTGGTTAGATAATAGCGTTGTTTTGTCGTGGATGGGCATGGTGGTTTCAACATGAACCATTTCGATTTCCAATCTTCTGTCGGATGATTAACTCAATTGACCAGGTAGACAGTAGACCATGAAGCTCAGTTTATTTGTCGGTTGCCACGAATGGATAGAGCTGGAAGAAATGTCATGTCCTGAAAATCAATCCATTTGCATGGTACAAGTGATGCGGCAAACCCTATGCCATAAACCACAACATCACCATGTTTATGGGTGCTATTCTATGAGCCGTCCCCAAATGGTAGGTTTGTGGCCAAACGGGTTTCCCCGTTTTGCTTCCTGCTGAGGTGCCTTCAGAGAACCTGCTCATGGTGCGACAGCCCAGCGGGCGAAAAGCCAAGGGACCACCTTGGAGACCCAATCATCACCAGGCTTGGTATTCCACCAGGCTTCGAGGAATCTTCCTTGCGCTACATGTTTATACTAGTTTCACGTGTATTATAATCATGTATATTTAGAGAGAGAGAGTTTGAATTCATATGAACAAGTCTATTGAGTTTAGATACAATTCTACACTAAGATTTTGTGTGGATATCCCTAGTTGCCCTAGTTTTTCTCATCGCATCAGTCGTATCCTCTTGTCAGATCTATCACCCCCCCTTCAGCAAAGTTCCAAACTTCCTTGAGCCGTTTAGCCTTTTAGTTGGTCGCATCCCATGTTGTTTCACAACCGCATTAGGCAAGAATGTGTGAAGTGCCAACCGTCAGTTGTATACCGCCAGTTAAACCAACATTGCTGGTAGTAGAATGTGTTGTATAATAATATATCATTTCCTACACTGAAACGTGTCAAGGGAAATTACCAAAAGATCGTGCTGGTTAGAATCATTTGGCACCCCTAAATTTGCCAGTTTAAGTCAAGAAAAACAAATCCTTACTGATATATAGAGAGAGAGAGAGAGAGAAAAAAACTTACTGATGCAATCAGAACATGTGTTGGTTCAAACCCAAAGTTTTGCTGGTCAGCTCCCAAATTCTGTTCATAAAGTTTAACAAATGCTGGTTGGTGCCGAGTCTTTCTGTTTGAATCGCAGCTTTTTCTTCTCAGAAATCTCAACATTTAATGATCAAATTGGGAATGTGTTGGTCAAGGGATTGTAGCGTAGGTACAAGGTAGGCCGCCCCAGGTAGAAGTTGGTTTATAACCCCATCAACCAGATAATTAGTTATATCCCTCTTAAGCCCTAGTTAACCAAGTCATAAAGTAGTTATCAAGAACTTAGCCATCCTAAATCAGCTACAAATCACACTAATTCTCATTAAATCCCAATTCTTGTTGGTTAAATCCCAGTAAATCTCTTGTAACTCATTTTCTTCACAGGCCCTGAGGTGGACCACGACCATTGTTTTCTCGTTTTCCAAGGCAAGGGCATCGTGAACGGCTTCGGCCAGCTCCACCCGCGGTCGCAGGGCATCCGAACCCTAGGCGAAAGCGGCCGGCGTCGCTGCGTCGCTGTACGGAAACGACATGGGGAGTCCACGGGAGTCAGCGAAGTGATGGGGGCATACATGGCATAAAACCAACCACCTTATGGGGATATTTGTACATATACAATGAAATTCATGTTTTTATAATTATATGTATGTGTTATATACATTTAATTATATATAATATATATATATAGACTCCCGGAGATGGCGATGGAGAGAGAGAGAGAGAGATATATATATATATTGGATAGAGTGGGATAACCACCACTAAAGGTCAAGCCGCCAACATTGAGTGTTTATTATCCAACAACAAGTGGCTAAGTGGTAAGGGCAAATCTTAGCCGTCTATATGGAGGGGTCATCGCTTTGTGGGCTCGGCGCATTTATGAATCCAGGAGTAAAAGGATCTGTTGATTGATTAGGTAGCTACCCCCAAAGTTGTGAAGAATTAAGTGTGAACTAGTGTTGAAATTGCGCCCCCCCCTCCAGGTAAATTGGTGGCTTGTGAATCCTGGCTTATCATCAGCAAAAAAGAAGGTCTAAGCACCGACCAGAAAAAAAGTTGACCAGAAACACAGTAGAACTAGAGATCCTTATCATTGTGCTAAGTTGGGACACAATTTAATAACATGTATAAATATATAATAAGTATACATATTATAGCCATCCTGGATTAGATATGATAGAATATGGGATGTTCGGAAGATCCTCAATAAGATGAAAATGTGTTTGAACATCCCATATGATATATCCATACGTCATACGTACTATCAACAAAAACATTGTGAAAACAAATTGCATGGCAGGTACCATCTATTCCTCCTCCTTGTTTCCGCACCTTGGCTGGGAGGTAAACCTTGGTGAATGGTGCTTGATGAAAATGGTAGGTCTGACATGTTGTGAATGGGTTCATGGGTAACAGCAGAACAGGGAACATATGATGATATATGATATATGATATCCAACATTATCCAACTGACACTTGAGGTTTGATTTAGAAAACAGGCCCCCAAAAAAGTTGATGGGTAATCGCTATGTTTCCCTATGAAAATTGCCGTTGGCACGCCGTTTCGGGGAGCATGGATCAACATTGGAGCACCAAAAGGCCCAGAAGTTCGCTCATTTGAGTCTTAGGTGGGCTATTTTGACCCATCATGTGGAACCCCCATTAAATATATAAACCTCCAATTTTGGAGGGTTTTTACCATCCATTTCTAGTGAAATCGGGATTGTTTCTTATTGGGTTTACCACATAACTCACATCTGATCCAATTGATTGACTAATGAAGGATTCATGCACCATTATGTATATATATATATATATAATGAGCCCACTCATTTTGACCCATGAATTGAATCTGTTCGCGACAGGTTCACCCGGGTAATATTATCGGGGGGTACTAGCACTGACAGTCCTGACACGTCTGCGGCCAGAAAAGCCAGGTACTAGTCCACACCTCAAACTCCTTGCGTTAGACACACAAAGTCCTCCACGGTCAGACAAGTGGTCCTGCGCTTTTAACTCTCTTTCCAAAGTCCTTCACGTTGGATTCACCGGTCTTCCGACCGATCTTTGAGCTTGGAAAAAGGGCTATGGTGAAATGCCCATTGATTGAAATGACAATTGCAAAGTCATGACATGAATGCTAATCAGGGAATATGCAATTCGCACACCCCCTGACTGTGTTTCGCTAGAGGCACAGTCACACGAAAAAAGCAAAATATATCTCACACCATCTGCACGACAGTGTTACATTCAAAGCTCAAGCCCTCTCTCAGATGTTCTTTTTCCGCTCTTCTTTTCCAAATTTTTTCACTTTGCATGTCATCGCACCTTTTTTTCACTTTTCGCTTTCATTTGGCCTCGCACACCAATTACACGGCTGATACGCAATGGAATATCCATGCATTTTTTCGCAGTGAGTCACATCGGTGTGCTGGGGTCCATTCAATCCAGCTCCATACATGTCTCTCCCTCGAGGATGCCATCCGCGAAGTTGAGGAACACACTGCTCACAGATATCGGTGTGTCGCACCATCTGTGAATTTCTCAACCCATAGCAATCCTTTCGGAAGTGATATTTCTTTCCAAGGCCTGTAAAGTACAGGTCAATCGATGGGTCAGCACTGGAAGATGGATCCGCAGGGATCTGAGCACCAGTGCTGGTGGATGAGGAAGCTGCAACTTTTGGCTCGGCTGCAGCATGGTTGGTTCTGATCTGCGTCATCCCTGTTGAGGTCGTTTCATTTGGCTTCTTTTCATCACCTTTCTTTCCTTTTGACTTTGATTGCAAAACTTTTGGTGGCGGAGCAACTTCTTTCTTTTCTGCTGCCGCCTTGGGAATCGCTGGTTCTTGGATTCCTGCAGAGGCTGTTTGATCTTCTGGTAGCGGAGCTTCCAGTTTTGAAGCTGGTTGGCCATAAGTGTTCTTCTGTCCGTCCTGTTTGGACGCAGAAGACTGGCCCATACTTTTGGCTCTTTTTACAGCCTTTGGTGTTTCTTCCTTTTCTTCTTTTAGTGGTGGGCCACTTCGCCTGGGGAGTTCGTCCCGAGATTGGTCTCCTCCACCAAATCCCAGAACCGTCTCACCCGGCGGGGAGGTTGGACAATCGGTCTGTGACGCTAGACCCGACGTCCTGGCACTCCCAGATGGTTGGCCGCTTCGCCTGGGGAGTTCGTCCCGAGATTGGTCTCCTCTACCAAATCCCAGAACCGTCTCACCCGGCAGGGAGGTTGGACCACCAGTCTGTGACGTCAGACCTGATGTCCTGGCACTCCCGAGCAACTGACTGCTTCCCCTGGGGAGTTCGTCCCGAGATTGGTCTCCTCCACCGAATCCCAGAACCGTCTCACCCGGGACGGAGGTTGGACCATCGGTCATCAGACCCGATGTCCTGGCACTCCGTTGAGCGAGTTCGCCGCGGGATCGATCTGATCCCACAGCCGTCTCAGCCCTGAGCAGTCGTCGCTGCCAGCCGCTTTGAATGGCCAACGTGACCAACACCACCACTATTGTATATACCATCATCATGTCAAAGAAGATGGATGATTCCTCTCCTGCATCTCCATCTTCATCTTCGGCCCTCGCTCGGCTGAGCATGGCCATGATCATCGCCATCCTGACCATATCTTTTGGGGACTTTATCCCTCCTTTCGCTTCTTTCGTCTCTATGGCCGGCTCTCTCACCACGCCATTCTCTTCTTTTTCTTCGGTAGGCCCTCTCACCACACCGAGATCTTCCTTTTCTTTTTCTGTTTTGATCTTTCTATCTGTCATGCCCATGGCTTTCTTCAGCTCCTCCAACTTCAATGCCGCCAAAGCTTTGGTGCCCAGGTCGGCGATCATGCCGTTGCCTGGAGTGTGTCGGAGGATGACATCTCCACTCAGCACCCGCCATCTCATGTAGCGAGCCCTCTTTCTCAAGTGGCGCGTCCTCCAGGACGCACTGTCGCCTCCAACTATGGCGATGGCTGAGGCAGAATCCGAGTACTGCCAACATCGCACTGCCTTTTCCAAAATTTCTTCCACCACTACTCGGACTGCCTCTGCCAAAACTCCTCCTTCCAAAATCTCCAACAGCTCCGACTCTGCTGTGGATGCGGTTTGAAGTTGTTGGCGCGAGCTTCGCCACAAAATTGGAGCTCCCAGCCACATCACCACTGAACATCCGTGGCCTTCATCTCCATAGGCCGCGTCAGTGTAGACCAGGAGGTCTAGGCAACCATCTTCGTTTCCTCCAAAGCGAATCCCTTCTTGGAAGGAATTCGCAAGGTATTTCCAGATCTGAGGCGCTGCAGCAATGACCTTGGAAGGTCGTCTGGTGGTCCACCTGGAAATTCTGGACATGACGTACATGATGTCGGGGCGACACCTGGTCACCAGCCAGGTCAGCTCACCCACGATTCTCTGTGCTTCTCGAACCTTTTCCACTGTCTTTTCTGCATCCTCCTCACCATCACTATCCAAACTTCCATCCTCCTTTGACATGGGAATCTTCTTCAATCCCCACTTCTGTCTGTCCATCCCCATGTTCTTCTGCAAGAGATCCAAAGTGTAGGAGTGTTGAGTGGCGCACCACACTCCATTTTGATCTCGAGACAACTCCATACCCAAAAACCGGGTGGTTTGCTGACAGCCCACCTTCTCAGGGACGGAGGTTTCCCACTTGGATTGGATGCAGCTGATCCAAGCTTCTGCAGTCTCCTCTGAGGCAAGGACCAAAATGTCATCAACATAGGTGAGCATGAGCCCTTGCAAATCGCCAGTTTCTTCTTGGCGGATGGCCCATGTACTCGGCTCTGATTCAAGCTGATGCAACCTCATCTTTCCAACTCTCATCTTTTCCATCTCCTCATCTCTATAATCCTTCCAGAGTTTCGGAGACCTCCGGAAGCCATAAAGAGCTCGCAAAACCTCCCAGAGCTGATAGGGAGGAAAGTAGCCAAGTTTGACCAAAATTAGTGGTGGCCTAAGAAGCATTGGCAGCGGAGCTTCTTCGCCTTCTTCTTCAAAAAACCAATCTTCACCCCCCTTTTCATGTTTCCAGGGAGCGTTCAAAAAGGCGGTGCGAATGTCCACATTGATTCCGCACCATTTGCGAACTGTGGCCAGAGCAAGCGCCAGCCTAAGGGCAGCAGCATCTGCCCCTGCCGCAAAACAGTTTTCATCTCCACCCACAGTCTCATAGTTGCCACATGCGACTATGCGGCATTTTCGCTTTCCCCGACGCTCAGCCGGGTCTGGCTTCACCGTAAATACGGTCTTGGAAGGTAGTGGAATCGCTCCTCTTTCTTTGAGATACTTGTCGCTCTCCTCTTTCGTCAAAAGCTTCAACGCTTTCTTTTCTGAGAAGAGTGAATTGATCTCATTGGAAATGGCCTGATGCCAAAGGTCTTTCTTTTTGACCACCTCGGCAGTGCCCACAATTTTCGTTTGGAGCACTTCTCCTTCATCCTCTTGATCCATCTCTTGCATGGCTTTCACCCCCCTGAGTACGGCCTCAACAACCTCTTCATCATCATAGAAGGCATGTTCTGCCTCTTCCTGTATCACCTTTTCCCGCTTCAGCCTGTCTTGCCTGCTTTCTTCATCTTTCTCCTCTTGTACCTTTCTGATCATGGCTTTTCCTCGAATTCTCCTTCGAAGATCCAAGGGAGTCAGATTGTCTTCTAAGGCAATCCACGTGTCCTCAGTGACTGGCTCCACGGTGTTGGTGATGACAGCCCTTGTCAAGGTTTGTGTGTTGTCTGAGCGAAGTACCCAATGCCCATAGTTCCGCCAGGATGGGGCGAGGTAGTGAACCTCTTCGTTGTTGGGTTCCATGTCCTTTGTGCGCCAATACCTTCTTCTGATCAGCACTTTGGACATGAACGGTGGGATGGCCCCAATGGCCTCTGTTCTGTTTCTCTTCCATACTTCATTGAGATATCGAACAGCAATCGGCCACCATTCGATACCCACCTGCGCGCCACGCAGGATTTTCTTCGTCTCTGTCTTCATTGCTTGTACGGCCCTTTCTGCTCGGCCGTTGGTTTGAGGGGATACCCCTGGGGTTGTTGTTGTGAGGATGCATCTTTCCCTGCACCACTTTTCAATGTACGCTCCAGTGAATTCACCTCCTAAATCGGAGTGGAGCTGGTTGACAAACATGCCTTCACTCCTCAAGGTGAGGTAGGCATCGATCAGGGCATTCAAGATCGTGATGCCTCTCTTGTCTGGCAAGGGGAATGCCAAACGGTGCACTTGTATTTGTGCCTGTTGCTCTTCAGGGACATCTGGTGCTGGCACCTGTGGGAAAGGGTCTTCGCCCGGTTCAGTGGGCTCATATTCAACATCGGGCGCCACCCGGGTCATATAGTCCCCTTCCTTTTCATCATCATCTTTCTTCTGGGGGTCTGCAGCCTCCTTCAAGGGCTCCTCAACTCCTGGGGGTTCTGCGGCCTCCTTTAAGGGCTCCTCAGTTCCTGGGGGTTCTGCAGCCTCCTTTTCCTTCTGCCGTTTCTGCTTCTGTTCTTCCTGCTCTCTCCTCAGCAGCTCCTCAAACTCCTCCTCAGGGTCTTTCTTCCTTGGCCTGCCTCGCTTCTTGGCTCCTGGCTTTTGGGACCCTATCTCTTCTTTTGGTTTCTCCTCATTTTCTTCCCAGCCTGGGAAATCATCCTCATCATCCTCCTCGGGCAACTCTTCTAAGTCGTCACCCTTCAGGCCTGTAGGCCAGGTGAACGCCGCGACCAGGACAAAACGAGCATGGTCTTTGCCCAGGTCTGGAGCTTTGGTGAGTGGTCCGGCGATGTCGACCGAAAGAACGCCAGCTCTTGGAGGAAGTTTTTGACGCCGGTGAGGTCTCGCTCTTGCTGCAGCCTCTTGACATACCTTGCAGTCTTTTCTGAAAGGCTGGTGGCATCGTTGGACATGTGTCCTCCAGGATCTCAACTTCGGGGTGATCCCTTGGGACTCCAGCAGGGCGCATGCTACCATGTCGGTAAGCAGAGGGACCCATCTGGAAAGGTTTTGGGATTCCTGCACTATCTGCTCTTTTGTTTTGCCATGTGTGCATCGAGGTTGTGGTGCTGGTACGACCACGCTGGGTACTTGCATGCGCAAGTTGCCGCCCAACGTTGTGGGTTTGACCCCTCCTCCTCCAAGCTTCCCTTGGTCTAAGTGGATCTCCCACAGGCCGTATGCTTGCTTGAGTGCTTGCCATTGGGGGGTGGACCAGAACGATACCACCTGTGGCATGTTTGCCGGGGTGCTGGGGTGCTCAAAGACAAGGTCGATGTCTTTGGTATGGCGGGATGCTTTCCTGATCTCCTGGGCAACCATGTAGAGCATGAGTCCTCTGAAGAGCATCACATCATCTTCATGGCACTTCTTCTCCTCTCTTTCTCCGATACCCTTCTTTCCCCATTCTCCACCGTTCCACTCTCGGACCGGTCCGGGGAGATCAACTCCTTCAACTTCACAGTGTCGGAGCTTTGAGCGAGTGCGACAATTTGGAGACATCACCAGGGACTCCACTTGGCCCTTGATGACCATGTCCATGAGCTCAGCATAGAGGTCATCCTCCATCATATCCCATTTGGCTCCGTTCTTGATGTCCACCGCTATGACCTTTCTTTTCTCTCCTCCGAGGAGCTGAATGGCCTTGGCCATAGTATACCCTTCATTGGGTCCTGAGTAGAGGTACAACGTCACACCTCCTTCTTTCTTCCATAGCTTTCTTCGGCTTCGGTTTCCGGTGATATGTCCTTCCTTAGGGCTGATCACCAACCTTTCTGTGATTCTTTTTGGAACTCCTTGAAGTGCTGGGTGTTCTTCTACCAAGCGCTTCATCCAGTGCATGTAGGCTTCAGCTGCGGATCCTTCTACACTCCTCAGCTCGGGTGCCTTCTTTTCCAACTCCTCGATCAACTCCAAAGCATCAGACTTGTTGATCATCGGGCAACCTTCTTTGAGCTGGGTGCTAATCTGCCCCTTGAAGGGGTGATACAGGACCATATGGCCTTCGGTCCATTGCAAAGAGCAACCCAAGTTCTCCACCAACGCTCCCAGTGGCACGATGGGCTCCACATCCTCAGAGCCTATGATGGCACCACCTTCTGAAAGCATCATCATTGTTTGTTTTCCTCCGGCCAGATTGATCCTCACCTTTTGACATTTGGACAGATCCTCATCTTTCTTTGGAGGTCGAAGAGGATGGGTAGCTCCGCTGTCAAGGAGTCCCAAATCTTCCACAGCTGCTTGGACCCTGGCCAATCGCAGCACTCTCACCGAAGAAGCTCGAAGCTCATCCAGCTGTCTTTGAAGTCTCCTGATTTTGGCATCACCGGTCTCCTCAACCGATGAGCTTTCCTGCGAAGCTCCTGGAATCACCTTTAGCATCTTTCCAGCTTCTTCCAGTAGACTCTTCATATCGTCCGCTCCAGCAACTGCTCGGTCGGACTGATTGTCCTCCTCATCATTCTTCTTCTTTCTGGCATCGCCATCTTTTTCGGCTTTGGCCACTTTGACTTCTCCTTGGCCCTCACTCACTGGACATTTGTTGGAGAAGTGCTTTGTGGACCCGCAATTCCAGCAGCGACGCTGGTCATCCTTCTGGTTGTGATCCCATCTGCAAGCTTTTCCTCGACGGCATCCATCCTCCGTCAGGAAGTACTTACACTTTGGCATCTCCTTCTTTCCCTCATCGCCCTTCTTGGCTTGAGGCACTTCGCTTCTTTTTCCTGCCTCCTCCATCTTCCGAGCTTTAGGAACTCCTGCGATGGCTGCCTTTTCCTTCTTTTTGGCATAGGAGACCTGGTCCATCTCAGCCAGTAAGCATTCGGCCAACTGGTCAATGGAAGACATAGTGGGCACAGAATCCACCATCAGTGTTGTCCTCGTCAGGTTAATGCGAAACTGCAAGGTTGGATTGCCAGCCAAAATCTTGGAGACCAGCCGGTCCAGGCCCCTCAAAAGGACCGATGGATCGGGCAACTGAAGGCCCATGTCTTCTGCCCTTTTCTTCCATCTCAACCAACGACGTAGTCCCAGGATGCCCTCGCCGATCCCCACCGCTTCTGCCGGCAGCTCCAAAGCGGCCAGCACTGCTGCTTTTTCATGGGAACCACCAGGCTGGTAGTTGTTGAGGAGTTTTGCCAAAATCGCCAACACTGAAAGGTCTTTCCCTGCCACAATGTCATCACGCTGACTACTGGGCAAGGCCTGAAGAAGCAAACTGCTTCCTCTCTTCTCCAACCTTCTCCATTTTTTCTGCTGTAGTTGCGGTGGTGCCCTGACTTCATGCTTCAGCTTGTCGATGGGCTTCATGGCTTGGTGTTTGTGGTACCAGTCCTTCGCAGTCTCAACCACTAGATCCCACCATTCTGAACTGCTGGTAGTGAGATCCGACATCTGTGCATGGATGAGAAGCAACCAGTCCTGTAAGTCCACCGGAGCATTCTCAGCTGTCCACTCCGGCAGTTTGTGCAGCTCTACACTGCTCCTCACATGCTCCTCTTCATCGTCCTCTGTTAGCCGTCGGCCCCTGATCGTCTCTCGATCCAAGAGCTGTTGTTGCAGCGATTGCATCCCTTGCATCAACTTGAGCATCACGTCCACTGTGGTGTCCTCCTTTTTTGATCTTCCTTTGTGATCTTTCACATTCACTGAATCTTCCGACTCCTCTTCTTGAATCGATTGACTCTCCTCACTGGACTCTTGCTGTCCAGCTGGACCATCCTCCTTAGAAACTTCTTCAAGCTTCCTTCCAATCACTTCCTCCTCTGCTTTGGGGGTCTCAGCCTCCTGTTCTCCTCGACCTGCAGCCTCCTTTGGCTTCGAAGCTTCAAAGTCTTCCTGCTTGGCTTCTACACCTTTGGACTTGGGCTTCTTTCCTGAAACCTTCTGACGGCGGGCGCTGTCACGGAGACCTTCAGCAGGAGTGACATCGGGAGGTGTTGTGTATCTAGTCTCTCGTTCTTCCATAAGCTGAATCCTCAACCTCAAATTTTCTTCTTGAAGCTGGGTGAGAGACTTTGACATTTGTCCCATTTCTTGTCGAAACTGCCACATCATCTCATCAAACATTCCTTGTTGTGTGGGGTGTGGCACGTATCCATAACCATGTTGAGGTGCTAAGGGATATCCCATTGGTGACATCATCAAGACTTCCGGACCCTTCCTTGATGGTCCCTCTGACATGTCAGCTTCCTTCCCCATTCCCACCCTCCCTGCCGCCAAACCCCCATCCCATCCGCCGGTGGACTGGCTTACTGCGGTGGGGCTTGGGCCCTGCAAAAGTGGTGCACTCAACCTGAGCTCCTCAGCCTTCTTTAGCTGAGCTTCATTGAACAGTGGCTGGAGGTTCCTAGGTCCTAGGGCCTTAGGGGATCCTACAGGTTCTGCTGGAAAGTCTTCTATTGGCAAGGGGGTTTTCATATCTTCCCCAACAGGACCATTTGGTGAAGGCTTTCCAACCCTTTCCCTATCCACTGCCACTAGAGCCATCTCTGCCCCTTGGTTCCTCGCGCTTGCCCGGGTGCTTGACGCTGTTTGGTCTTTCTTTGACTCTTCATCATCAGGCTCAGACCTTCTTCTTCTGAGCATCATTTCAGCAGAGTCCCCATGCGTTGGGCTCATAACCTGTTCGCGACAGGTTCACCCGGGTAATATTATCGGGGGGTACTAGCACTGACAGTCCTGACACGTCTGCGGCCAGAAAAGCCAGGTACTAGTCCACACCTCAAACTCCTTGCGTTAGACACACAAAGTCCTCCACGGTCAGACAAGTGGTCCTGCACTTTTAACTCTCTTTCCAAAGTCCTTCACGTTGGATTCACCGGTCTTCCGACCGATCTTTGAGCTTGGAAAAAGGGCTATGGTGAAATGCCCATTGATTGAAATGACAATTGCAAAGTCATGACATGAATGCTAAATAGGGAATATGCAATTCGCAGAATCAACTGAGAACAGGATGGATTCCCCACGCAGATCTCAGGAATCGCATGCCAGATGAGAACAAGATCATGCTGCTGCATTATATCGGTGCGGATGGAGAAATCTTAGAGATCTTCTCCCTGGTTGGAGAAGGGTTCATTTGCCTGGGGTAGAGGTAGATTGTTCACATGCTTACCCTCTGGTCAAAAACAGTTTGCTATTGAACATGGCCATTTAGTTCGTTGATTTACCCATTAAAAATGGTGATTCTCCATAGTTATGTTAGTTTGCCGAAGGGTATGTAAGTGGCCTGGCTGGGAATACATCATATACTGTATATGGTCCGTATGGGTAGCCAATGCAATATGGTGTACGATGGTGTGTGTCTAGAATGTTCCCAACACAATAACAAACCATTTCCTTGAGCCCCCCTTTTGTACACCACCCAAAAGGGTAAGTCATTGTGATGTCATTGGGTATATAAACGGGAGATGTTCAAAAAACACGTAGATTTACCAATATTTACCATATTATTCAATTGTCGGTTGGTCATCCTATGTACCCCCATCTGCATCCATTTGCCTTTATTCAATGAAACCCATTAAACACCAAAGCCACAAAACAGCGCAGAGAAGGCACCAGAAGATCCCAACTTTTTGTTGTCCCAACAATTCGATCCTCAAACTTTGTGAACCAACCTCACAGAAACTCCCATGGATCCCATGGAAATTTCCCCCCATGGAAAAATCACCAGCGGCAGGCGGCGCCCGAGACCCAGAGCTCTTCGGGGGGATCCAGGACCTCAGCGAAGGGCAGCTGGTGGAGGTGCAGCGCCTCGATGAGTCCCTGGTGGTTTGGAAGATGAATCGTATTTTCCCCAATACCGGTGATGATCCAATCTCACTGTCATATTTTTCAGAGGGATTGAAACCACCAACTAGTATTTAATGGGGTCTAAGGATTATAGAATTGTATAATTAATGGGGATATAGAATGGGATATTATATTTGATGATAGAAAGTAGGGATTTAATAGGGATATAATGGGAATTAATGGGATGATATAAATGATATTGGTTAATATACCTTCCGGATCCTTCCGGTGTCATCAAACATTGCTAGCTGGTAAATCCATTACTCTCAATGGACATGGAAAAACAATGGAGGCTTATAGCTGGGAAAAAAAACGAACTAAATGGGATTGTTTCCATTGTGGCAATTTGTTTAGTTTTTCTTTTACCAATGACTTTCATTTGGGAATAATAAACATCTGGAATATGGATTCCTGGATCGAACATTTGAAAGTTAATTCCAAGCAAAGACAATGGAATACCATGGGGTAATTACCAGCTATATAACTATATGGACATATAGGGAATTATGGCATTATTTGGTGAATATAACTGTGAATATCCAACATTTATATAAATTGTTTTTCTATGGGTTTTCATGGGTTTCCATAGGTTTTCCATAGGGTTTTCCAGGTGTTTTCACAGCTGTGTTCCATCCAGGCAACTCACAAAGACACAGTGGAGACCATGCTGCATTCCACCGAGGTGCCGTGTGGTGGATATCACTAGATACACCTTTGAATATGATGTGAATCATCTGTGAAATAGTATAGATATATCTGGGTAATCATGGTTAATAAGGGAAATCATCCCAAAATGGCCTTAGTTCAGGTTAGTGAAGTATTATAATTTACCCATATATATAGTATTAGTATAAGTGGATCTAACCAACTGAATATGGATGACAGCAATAGTATATATAGTATATATAGTATATATAGTATTAATATCTATTAATATCTATTAATATCTATGAATATAAGTGGATCTAACCAACTTGTTATTTCATGGATGACACTTAAGTATAGTAAGTGAAATGTCATTTGTGAAATTCAATGGATTGGTTCAAAGAAACATTTGCAGGAAAGCCTCATGATCTTCATGGGACAATTCTATGGTTTCCGGTTAAGATTTTCCCAACAAAACCAATCCATTGAGTGAAATAATACAAGTGGACGTGGGGGAGGGATCAAAAAAAACAAATAGGGATCAAAAAAACAAATAAGGATCAAAAAAAAACAAATAGGGATCAAAAAAAGCATGAAAACTAAAGGAGGAGAAGGAAGGAAGGAAGGAAGGAAGGACCATGTTTGCAGTCAACACTTGCAGTCAACACTTTGCAGTCAAAGCGCTGCGCCCTCCCCCCTGCACCCCCCCACCCGCTTTTCTTTTTTAATCGATTCCCCTTGCTACCTACTATTCTTTTTGTTTTTCATAACCATCATTTGGGTTCATTTGATTTTTATTCCATCGAGATTTGTGCCTATGTACTTCTTTCTTGGTACGCATTGCGGGGGGAGGCGCTGCGCCCCTCCCCCCTGCACCCCCCCACCCGCTTTTATTTCTTAATTGACTTCCCTTGCTACCTACTCTCTTTCATTTTTTTCATAGGTATCGTTTCTTTGGGTTCATCTTCTCTTTCTTAATCTTTATCTATATCCATCGAGACTTGAGCCTGTGTGCTTCTTTCTTGGTACGCATTGCAGGGGGAGGCGCTGCGCCCACCCCCCCACCCCCTTTTATTTTTTAATCGACTCCCCTTGCTACCTGCTACCTACTCTCTTTCGTTTTTTTTCATATGTATCGTTTCTTTGGGTTCATCTTCTCTTTCTTAATCTTTATTTATATCCATCGAGACTTGAGCCTGTGTGCTTCTTTCTTGGTACGCATTGCGGGGGGAGGCGCTGCGCCCTCCCCCCTGCACCCCCCCACCCGCTTTTATTTTTTAATCAGCTTCCCTTGCTACCTACTCTAATTCTTTTTTTCGCAAGCATCGTTTATTTGGGTTTATTTTTTATATAATCAATATTTTCATTCTTGCTGCCACTACTACTACTACTAATACTACTACTACTACTACTACTACTGCTACTGCTACTGCTACTGCTACTGCTACTGCTCCTGCTCCTGCTCCTGCTACTGCTACTGCTACTGCTACTGCTACTGCTACTACTACTACTACTACTGCTGCTGCTGCTGCTACTACTACTACTGCTGCTGCTGCTGCTCCTGCTGCTGCTGCTGCTGCTGCTGGTGCTGCTGCTACTGCTGCTACTGCTGCTACTGCTGCTACTCCCTCTACTACTGCTACAACTACAACTACAACTACTACTACAACTACTATTACAACTACTACTACAGCTACAACTACAAGATCAACTACAACTACAACTACTACAACTACTACTACTACTACCCAATAGACCGAATTAGACAAAAAACTACAAAATAGATAGATCGTAAAAATCTATAGATTTCTATCTATTAGACAATTTCGATTTTATCTATTATCTTATTTTTTTCTTGCAAGTAGATTATTTTTTTAAAACTATTATAGATAAATCTGTGTTTTTTTGTCTATATAGAGAGTTTTTTTTTAATCTATATAGAGAAAAATCTTGAAAATAGATTAAGCTAAATTTTGTCTATTTTGTTGATCTTTCATGGTTTTGACCATGCCAAAATTCAACCGTTACCTTCGAAGTTTGCTCGTGATTCGTTCGAAGTTTAACTTCGAAGTTTATACGTAGTTTATTCGAAGTTTTTACTTTGGAATCATTTTTGTTAGTTTTTCTCAGACTAAAAACTTTCAAAACAATGAAACACACATGGTTATGTTGTATATGTGAACTTGTTCGATCTGTGTGCTTGCATACATGGCATTTGAACTTTTGCTGTGGCATATCTTTGGGTGGATTCATTCTGCCACAATCGAAGGTTTCACCTTCGCAAGAGGTTACTGTCACAGTAACCCTGCACTGCACAAGGAAGGTCTTGGAAGGTATTCCCCCACAATATTTTTTTAAAGATATTCCGTTATACAGCATCTCTGGGAAAACTCCTTCACACAAGTATCTCTGAAACTTTTCCTTCACAGTGAAACTCACAGGTATCTCCAGGTATTACCTCGCAGTATCTCTCTGGAAGTATTCCCTCACAGTATCTCTCTGGAAGTATTCCCTCACAGTATCTCTGAAAGTATATTTTACCTCGCAGTATCCCTTTGGAAGTATTCCCTCACAGTATCTCTGAAAGTATATTTTACCTCGCAGTATCTCTCTGGAAGTATTCCCTCACAGTATCTCTCTGGAAGTATTCCCTCACAGTATCTCTGAAAGTATATTTTACCTCGCAGTATCTCTCTGGAAGTATTCCCTCACAGTATCTCTCTGGAAGTATTCCCTCACAGTATCTCTGAAAGTATATTTTACCTCGCAGTATCTCTCTGGAAGTATTCCCTCACAGTATCTCTCTGGAAGTATTCCCTCACAGTATCTCTGAAAGTATATTTTATTTCGAAGTATCTCTCTGGAAGTATTCCCTCACAGTATCTCTGAAAGTATATTTTACCTCGCAGTATCTATCTGGAAGTATTCCCTCACAGTATCTCTCTGGAAGTATTCCCTCACAGTATCTCTGAAAGTATATTTTACCTCGCAGTATCTATCTGGAAGTATTCCCTCACAGTATCTCTCTGGAAGTATAACCTCACAGTATCTCTCAAAGTATGTACCTCGCAGTATCTCTCTGGAAGTACTCCCTCACAGTATACCTCTGCAACTCTGCAAATATTCCTTCACTCTGCAAAATTCCTTTTCACAGTATTGTTTGAAAAGGCTTGCCTCGCATAATATGTTTCCCAGTATATTCCCTCAGTATATCTTACCAGTAAAATTTTCAGGTATTTCTCTCAAAACATGAAACAACACCCAAGCAATCTATTTCATTTTTCCCTTAAAACGAAAACCGCTGTAAGTGTACATGTTCTGAAAAATATGCCTGCCTCAATATAAATTCACCAGATGAACATTATATTCCATATGGGCGTGACTTGGAGACTTTTAGCAAAACACTTGCATGCAGTTTCGTCATGTTCACGGCACGGTTAAATCTGAAAATAAATAAGTTGGAGATTAAACTATATATAATTTCAACAAAATTTCATCTCAGATAATAGAGATGGGACCTTGTAAGAATCAGTGCACCATATGACAAACCCTCAATGAACCTTATGGGCGCATTGTCAGTGTACAAGTTACCACGTGAGAGACCTGGAGTGACCATGAGAGTCCAACCTCTTTGCATACCCCAGATGTCTCCTTGTTTTCACACATGTTCATGACAGTGAAGGCGATCTTGTGAGACTACGTGCACCACATGAGAGACCCAACTATGAGCGCGATGTGAATTTACAAGTTACCATGAGAGACTTTGAGTGATCTGGAGAGTCATTACATCTGTTTTGAGTTTGTCATTATAAGGGTTATGGGAAAATGTTTTGTGATGAATCATGCTGTGGACAGTTTCAGTGTAGCAAAGAGATTACATGAACGTGTTGTCATCAAAAATGCAAATATTGTCATTTTTCCACTGTCAAGAGCTGTTGAGAGTTCATGAAAATTGTTCTAAATGCACTGCATGACTTAGCATTTTTACCGGAAGCATTTTCCATTTTCAATATACCCACATAGACAGAGGGTAGATTTGTTTGCCTCCCACCTCGCTTCCCGCAATGGTGTGGATGAAAGATGACATGAAGTTTGTGAAGAAGAAACCAAAAAGCTTCAAGGCTGTGTATGAGGACAACCCCAAGGGCCCTACTGCTTTGAAGCATCCCTTGATGCCATGGCCTCCTGGAACCGCCAAAGGAGAGTCCAAGGGCCGAGAGCAGGACCATACGAAGAAGGTCAACAAGAAGAATGACAACATGGATGAGAATACTGTGCAGTACAGTGTGGACAGCGCAGGCGTCCCATACCCAAGAAGCTTGTGGGAAGCTACTGTGGAGTACCACGACTACGTGCAGTGGAATGAATCTTTTGGCGTGCCAGTTGACACTTTCGATGTCTTCTTGAACGACTACCCCAAGGCAGTGAAAGACAATATTATGAAAGAGTATGCCGAGGACTCTAAAAAATGAGGTGGCCAGCAACAAGAACATGGCCGTTTTGACTTCATATAGTCATAGCTTTGGAAAACTCTAGAGTCGTGACCATGTCCAAATGGAAAGACTTGTGATGCGATGCCATGGTGAAAATGAAACCGGAGATGATGCCAAGCTTCAGGGTTTTCAGGAAATGATACCATCCAGTTGTGAAACCAACAAGGAATTCAAGTACACATGAAACGATACTTTTACATGTATTTTTGAAATAATGTTCTTCTAAATGGAATCCCACCAACGGTGTTTTTGGAGAAAGAAACTTGCGTCAGTTGCTTGCGTACTCTGAGAGTTTGTACTGTGAGAGTTAATTTGCTTTTGCACTTTGAGAGTCGCTTTGAAACGAGTTTCTGGTGAGGGATCATTTTGTATATAGGTGTGATCAAACATCGATATAGGTGTGATCAAACAGAGCTATTTGCTGAACGACATTTGAAAGATATACATCTTTTTCACAGACCATTGGTCCAAGCTATGGTGTATAGACAAGATGCTGTCGCAGACTCCGAAACGTTTAGTCGCAGATCCCTTGGTGGGGGTAGCAGACCTGATGCAGCCAGTAGAAAATCTGCTGCAACGAGAGAAAGGGATCAACCTCGCAAAGTACATCCAGCCGCCGTCTGGTGTTTCTTGGAAAAGTGCTGTTCCCGTTGAGTGGCTCTGCAAACACCAGGAGCTCTTGACGGACTACATCAACATCTCAAAGAACACCATCATCAGTGGCAAAAAGCACAAGTTAGCCCTTGAGAAGCTTCATCATCAGCATGACATACTTGGAGGTCGCAAGTCCACTCAAGATGCCGTGGACTACGTGGACGACACCATCCGCATGGCTTTAAGCCATTTGCGCCAGATGTGCCAAGTGGTTCAGAAAAAGGATACGACGTACCGAAAATGCAGTCCAGCGATGCAAGAAACGTTGGAAAAGTTGCTGGTGAAAATCGACTTTGGCCCGCAAGAATCCTGTACGGACATGGTCCCCTACGATGGCGATGCCCGTGGAGGTGACCAAGGGCAAGGTAGACCGAGTTTTTCGAGGGCAGGGAGCTCAAGGGATGATTTGGGCGCCTCAGGTGGCAATGCTTTGGCGTCAGGGCCAAATAGGAACAGTGAGGTGGAGATCGGAGAGAATGTGAAGTTGAGAATCTTTGGAGAGAAGCCTGAAAGTGTTTTTGACAGGATCTTGAGCAAGAAGCCGAGTGACGCAACAACTCCAACGAAGAAGTTGACCCAGAAGAAGAAAGAGGACACGCCCAGTCCTGGAGACCCCTTTGTCTGCAGCTTGGAGAAATTACCTGGAGATGATGATCTTTTGAAAAAGGCAGCAGAGGTGCCACCTCTTACCAAGGGTGGAAAGTCTCAGCAGCAGAGGCTAAATTCAGCAAAAAAGATGAAAAGGCCAGCAGCATCCAAGCCAGGAAAGGAGGAGAAGAAGTGCAAGAAGCAGAAGACCCTTGACCACACCCAGGGTGAGGACAAGGAGGATGAATGCCCACCTCAGAATGCGAAGAGGCCGGCTGCTTCCACGAAGATGCAGAAAACAAAAAACGATAGCGAGAAGAAAGGCAAAAAGAAGATGGGCCCACCTTCCGACCAGCTGGACCCTAGCAAGCCAGCAGATCGTGCGATTTTGAGGAGAAGAGCAGATTCAGATGCCTGGCACAACACCTTCAAGCAAGAATTCGCCAAGAATGAAGATGAGGACAAAAGCAAGGAGTTGGCAAGAGCAGCTGCAAGGAAGGCAAGAGAAGAGTTTGATCGAAAGCATCCAAAGCAACCAGCGACTTCAAAGGCCAAGGCAAAGGCAAAGGCAAGCCCGAATACGAAGAAAAAGGTTCAGGCAAAGTCGAAGGCAAACAAGAAGGAGAAGGAGATCACACCGGCAGAGGATATCAACGTTCAGCCTCCAGATGTTTCACAGGAGAAGACTTCATCGACGGGCCCACAGGACATCGACTAAACCTCATGCTCCATGAGGGTAGATACAGATGGTAGACCGGACCAATGGTACATACAGTGTGCTTTGGGTGTGAGCCTCTAAAAGGGAGCTCTTTGAACCCACCCTTGGCATATTGACAAATCAATTGGGGTTTTGACTTGCGGTGCAGATCACGACAAAAAGGTGCTTTTTTACGATCACTTTTAGAACCTTTCACGAATACACGCAGTGGCATCCAATGCATAGGCATACCAAGTGCAAAAGTAACCTGTGATGCAAATAGATATATCTATATCTTTCAGACCAAACGGAAATTGTACATGACATATAGTTTCGAACCTTGAGGATGAACCATGAGAGTGAGAGTGTGACGAGTTTAGCAACTTTGAGAGATGCGGATGTTTTGCAATATACGATTTCAATTTTGTTGGAAATGTTCCTGAATCGCTGCAGTGTTCAAAGAGGCAACAAAAAACTCAGTTTTTTAGCGACAGCAAAATGCGGTTTCATGTACATGGCAAACTATGGCAACAAAACAGACACACGATTCCCTCCAAACATGGTTCATTTTCCACCATCTTATTCAGCATCAACAGAGCATATAGGTGAGAAGCAAACATATATTGACTTCTTTTAGATGTGACACACCCATAATCAATATTTGCCATGTAGTACAAAACAAAGTTTTTATTTTGGCAGCAAAGAGTTAGCAGAAGCATGGAGCATCCTCCTCGTTTGTTCCTGGGCAACATTCTTTGGAACACCACGCAGAACCAGATTCAACAAGTGCTGGACAAGTACAAGGTTGGCCAGGGGGTCCAGCACATCCATATCCCTAGAAAGGGAAATGTGATCGATGGGAAGCAGCACACGATCGCCTTTGTCACTTATGAAGAGAAGGAGCAAGTGGAAGAAGCTATTCGTCTCCTACATGATCGCATTCTGGAGGGTGTCAGCACTTACCCAGTGTCTGCCATGCACGCCAGAAGCAGGCATGAAGGAAAACAGTACCCGCAATTTCCAAAGACTACCAGTCAAAGCGGACCTGGAACACAAGACAGGGGGAATCAAACTGTACCTGTCAGACAAGAAGTCGCTCATGAAGGAGTTCCCCATCAACGCCAAGAACAGAAACCGTTTGTGCTCCCCAGAGCCTTCCAGCAAGGGTTGGGGCAAAGCCATGCTTTCAAGCAAACATGGCAAACGCTGCAACCTAGCCAACCCTGCCAGCATGGATTCCAGCAGCCTGGCCCCAGTCTGTTTGGTGGACCTTTTCAGTCTGGTGGGCACCGTTGCGCACCTGTGCATTCTGCCCAGCCAATGCATCATGGGGCAGCCTTTGAACCTATGATGGCATTTGGACAACATGTCCCTGGCCATTTTGGATCCCACCAAGTGCACCATGGTACCATGCCGCCCTGGAGGAATCCACCAGGCGCCACTTGCAAGGCGAAAAGCGTAGTTTCTCCAAAGCCGAAGCCAACGAGTCGAGTTCCAAGTGTCGATGAAAACGAGCAAGCCTTTGAGGAAAACCAGTGGTACCGTGCGCAGGATCAAAAGAAACCTGATACCAGCTCGGAGACAGAGCCTCCCACCTCTCCCACTGAGAAGAAAAAAAAGCAGCCCAGCCGGGGACGCATAGCAAGGCCCAAGAAGAAGCTTCCCCAACCTCGTAAGCCGGTGAAGATCGAACCACCTGAAGAGCCTGATTTTTTTGGACTAGAAGAGGCGAAGGAAACAAAATCTAACAGTACTACTAGCCCTGCCGATGCATCAGAAGATCCATATCAGGACTTGACACTGGGCAAGGAGTTGCTCATGGCTTTCAAAACAGTAGACAAGGAAGAGAAGAAGAAAAAAGGATCCAAGAAGCCCTCTGGCTCCACAAGCAGCAGTTCTCGAGCGAAAAGCAGAACAAGATCGAGGAAGAGAAAGGACAAGGGCAGAAGGAAAGACAAGTCATCTCAAAGGCGTCCCAAAAGAAGAAGAGGCCATGAGAGAAGAAGGACAAGATCCACTTCGAGCTCGAGCGACTGGACAACTTCTGCAGGACGCAAGCGTCGTCGCAGAAGGTAGTTTCACTACCACAGGGTTTCAACGTGCAGTACGAGCATGAGCGAGAAAAAAGTTGGAGCTATCACTTGACATGAATGTTCACATAGATGTCATTAAAACAGGAATAGTTTTCTTTCCATGACAGTTGCAAGACATGGCAATATGAAACAAACAGAGATACGCTTTGAATCACCATGTCAGATGTGTCAAGCTGAGAGGTAGAAACTGTGAGAGAGACTGAGAGAGACGGCTTTCAAGTTTAAAGATGTTTAAAGAATGTTTTGAAACGTAAGTGACATTGGATCGCATTTCATTTATTCTTCTCGACATAAGCCGAAGGAGTAATGATCAAATAAGTCTCTGTTTAAAAGGTAATGTTGCAAAACTGATGCTCTGAAAACATCAGCTACCATTTCACCTGTGTCGACACTTCACCAAAAACAACGACATGTAAAAACAACAGACAATAAACTCTCATGGTAAACTCTCACAGTTGTTCATGGTGCAAGCACTCTCATAGTAAAACTACCACATAGTAAATTCCCCTGGTGAACTCTCATGGTAAACTCTCATGGTAAACTCTAGAGTAAACTCTCACAGGATATATTCTCGTATAAAACACTAATAGTAAACTTTGAGTAGCAAACTCTCGTAGTGAACTCTCAGAGTTAACTGTGACAGAAAACTTTCATAGCAAACACTTATATAGTAACCTCTCAAGCCATCAGGGCCGCCAAACAAACATTCCTTTTTTCCTCTGTGTTCTTGCCAAAACGCATATGCGTCATGTCATGATGCAACACTCACGGTCTCAAAAGTCATGCTTGGTCACTCACGTCTTGTGACAAACATATTTTTTCTGTTTTTGATGTGCTATATTATAGGAAAAATCGCAAACGTTGAAAAATGCTACAATGTTCATGCTGGTCGAATTCCAAGATGAGGTGCTTTTTGGTACACTTGCAAGAGAGACTGTGAGAGAGTTCAAATACTTTGAGAGTTTGATTGTACATGGCAAGCCTCACTTTTTACAGACTGGTCGCACATAGCTGTTTTATCGAAACACAAAGGGGCGTACTCCGTTCGTGACCTTCCACCCATGGCGTCCCAAAGTTCCTTGATGCGTTTCAAGTCCACCTGCGACGGTTGGAACCCAGCTGACTCCCAAGAAGTTCCAGATTCACAAGAAGCTGAGAAAGGTGACACGGACTCAGAGAAGACCCTTTGCCTGGATGACTTCGCAGAGACTGAGGAGAAAGAAGGTGGGCTCACCCAACAAGCTACACCTGACGACTTCAAGGAGATGAAGCCTGCCGAAGAAGTTACACCTGACCTGAGCAAGGAGACAGGAGAGTTCTTTGGGCGCAAAATGAAGGTGGCTTATGGTCCAGGGTATGGACCTGGGTCTTTGGATGGAGCCATGCTGCAAACTCTTCTGGGTGGCCTCATGGATAAGACGAGGCTGAAGAACTATGTGGGTGGATTCGAGGAGCATCTGGCTGAAGCTGCCGCATCATCGAGCCAGAAGACTCCTGATCAGACTCGTGAGAAGACTCCTGAGAAGAAGCCAGCAGGAAAGAGTGTACGCAAGAAGAAGGGAACTTCGTCCAAGGGTAAAACACCCAAGAAGTGATCTCTGAAGCAACAACAGAGTATCTCACATTTTGTTGAGCAGCAGCTTGATGAAGCTGGATTTTTTGTGATCGTGTTCATTGCCGAGAAAACAAGCGCAATGTACTGAGCAGTTTTCATACTTCGCTGGCTTACTGACTTCGAAGTGTCTAAGTAGTTTCGAACAAACTTCGACTTTGTTACATATGGCCAAACGCCATTGAGCCATTGACAGGTTTAGACCAATTATGCTGAAATGGCAAATAGACTTGACATAGAAATGATCAGATCTAGCGCAGAGTGCCGACAGAGATTTGGAAAAAAGGTGCGTCTCACTTCTTGAACACAATCATGTACTTTGAGAACATGTCCACAGCACTTCGAAGTTTCTAAGAAGTTTCGAAGAAACTTCGAAGCTATGACTTAGACGTTTGTTCGAAGTTTATTCGTAGTTTCCAATGAAACTTCGTACAAACTTCGAAGATATGTTGATAAAACACTGTAAATACCAATATATTTGATAATGAAACTTCGAAGTTGGACTTCGAAGTTTCCATCATAAACTTCGAATTGCCCTTTCGAAGTTTCGAAGAAGTTTCGAACAAACTTCGAAGCTTACATTTGACTGCTGTTTTTGGCCACCCCAGAGTACGCCTTATTGAAAAGATTCAATAATGATCGACAGTTTCAACATGGAGGTCTAATTTCAATATATATTGAAATTTTCTCTGGATTCCCTATTGAAACAGGGGTGCATTTTCTATTGTATTTTTCAACAGAGCTGTGTTGTATTTTTCAACATGATTCTGTGTTGAAACCTTTCCAACTTGGTTCATCCAATGCATTTTTTTGCTCATCTTTGCTTGCTCTGCTACTTGTGAAACTTTACACAAAACTATATACATCTTGCCAAGGTTTCAGGCCCTTTTGCAGGACATGGCCCTTTTCAGGGCAGCCCTTTCTCAGGGCAGCCTTTTCCAAGGCATTTCCCAATGTTAATCACTTTCTATATCTTGCCATGAAAAATCAGCTCCTTGGATCCTCAGGTGAAGAGCTAACCTGTATCTCCAAGTGACCTTACTGGCCACCTGGTAGGGGGCAGTGCCACTCAGGCAGGAATGAGCAAGGGCTGATAGGTGGCCCACCATTGTTTCACCAGCATAACAGGAGTAAAATCTAGGATTGAACCACTGAAAGACACTTGCTAAGTGCTCACACAAGTGGAACTTGCGGGTCACATTCCATTGTAGAATTCCTTTCTGGATGCTCAACACTGACAGCCTGGAGTAGTGTAGGAGGCAAAGGTTCATGCTTTTTTTGAAAGAAGCTGCTTCTTCCCCTGTGGGGTGCATGCCACTGCAGTCCAAGGTTGTGTAGAGCTGGTTGAGGTGCTTGACAGTTTGAAACCGATGTACACTGTACTTGTCCTCTGTACTCTGGAATTCCAAACATATCTCTTCCAGCACGGGTACCAGCCACCTGCAGTGTCTAGCCTTCACCCCTGTCAAAGTAGGAAACTGATCATGCTTGCTCTTTGGAGAGCAGAAAGTAGAGAGTGTCAGCTTCCTGATCCTGTCACTGGCCTCAATGCCTTGCTCTTGGTAGAGGGTGCAGATTTTCCTAAAGAGGTAGGTCAGTCTCTCATTCTGTGTTCCTGGCAGGCCTGGCTTCACAACCAGGTCAAAGAGGACATTGGCCAGCACATGTGCTGTGAGGCCTTCCTCTAGCACATGTAGGGTGTCATATTTGAAGGTTTCACCAACCACACCTGGAATGGTGCTGATCACATGATCTGTAGGACATGCCCCTGCATGCTCCACCACTGTAGCCCTCCAAGCTGCAGTGGGCCTGAAGTCATTGTAGGGCAGAGTGCTTTTGTTTGCTGAGCAATTGAAACACATCTCCTCATGTGACGCACCTTTCAGCTGGAACTCATTCTGGAGGTACTCACCATCTGCCTGCACTGCCCAGATGCAAGCTCTGAAGCCTTCTCTGCTCAAAGGTTGACCAGCCATCTGCTGTCTCCAAGACTTTGCTGGCCAAGGGTTCCCTGCATGGTCAAATTCAAGAAACTTGTTGTAGAAAGCAGCTTCCCAAGACCATTGGAGTACTTGCCAAAGGACCTTCATGGTGTCACATGCTGCATCATCAGGGCTTTTGTTGATGGCACCCTTTGGCAAAGCCAGTAGCAAGAGTTGGCTTGAAGCAACATTGAGGCTGGATAGCAGGCTCCTCATGCTGATCACATTGATGCTATCATTTCGTTGGAATTGGCCTCCATCTCCATGTAAGCCACAGGGCAAAGATTTATGTCTATGCTCCTCAGCCAATGCATGTAAACCACAGAGGAAAAGGTTGCTTTTTTTGGGATTTGGATGCAAAGGTGGCAGTGACAAATGGCACTCTATGCTGCTGAGTCTCTCTGATGATGTTGTTCTTCAGCTGTGGGTCTCTTGAGCTGTGTTCTCTCCAGAACTCTTCAACATTTTGCAACCCTGACATAGCCTGGTCTTGGCCACAAAGCCAATGAAACCACTCATGTGGTAAGAACATCCCTACTTTCTTCTGTGCCACAGACAAGCCATCTGCTGTTCTGAGCTGCACAGGGGTCTCCACAAAGTAGGGCATGGGCAAGTCTATGTCAGTGCTTTCACAGTACTTGGATTGCAATTGGTGGGCAATGTGGTTGGGATTCTGGCCATGGTTGCCAAGGGATGCAAGCTCCTGGATATCACTGGTGTATGCCCCTGACTTGCTTGCAGCCATAGCAAGTGCTTGGATGGAAGGCCCCTCAGTGCAGTCACTGGCAAAAAACAAAAAGCACATGCAATCACATTGGTCCTTCTACCAGACAGCTTTTGAATAAACTTTGGCAAGGGGCTGACATGCCATTTGCAAAGTGCTCCAGCAGGCAAGACCCTAAGGGTGAAAACTCTTGGCACAACATGGTAGAGCTGCTGGCCTGCTCTTGCTTTTTCCTTTTCCATTTTCCTCTTTGGTTGGCCATTGCTTTTTCACAAAGTTTTGCCCTTCTTCAAGGCCAGAATAGCCCTTCTTCAAGGCCAGAATGGCCCTTATTCAAGGCCAACCATTCAGAAGAGTTGAGCCAAACAGCTTTAAAACACCAGGGGAAAACTGATTTGAGTGCCACAGGAGCAGTCTTGCCTGGTTTGGTTATGTAACCCTTCCTCACACTTAGCATGAAAGCGTTTTTTCCAACTTCTCAAGCAAACAGTTTCTGTGCTGTCCAAAGTTTTTTTTTCAAAGCATAGCCCTTTTGCAAGGCCTTTGCCCTTCTTCAAGGCCTTTGCTTTCTTTCAGGGTTCATTTCTTTCCCACAGCCTTTTCTGCTCTCTTTACAGCCAGTGCTGCTTCAAAGAGTGTGTCCTTGGCAACTTCCAGCTTGACCTTCTGCCCCTGTTTGCTAAGTTTTTGCAACTCAACTTGGCAACTTTGCAAATCTTTCTGGTGCTTTGCTGCCTTACTCCCTGAGCTGCCCTTTGCAAGGTCAGCATTAAGTTGCTTGACCAGTTTGAGCATCTTCAAGATTCTCTTGGCTGTGAGGTCTTTGCTTTTGCTACCCCCCATGTCTGACAGGAGGTCAGCTTCCTTTGCAGCTGCATTGAGTATTTGTTTGCTATCTTCTTCCTCATCTTCTGCATCACCTTCTTCATCTGACTCTTTGCCTTTGATAGCTGCAAGCTCTTTAGCCTTTTTTTTGGCACTGGTGGGGAGGACATCATTCAAGGCATTTGCTGCCAGCCCTTCCTCAGGGCCCAACATGGTGCCAGCCTTTCTGGCTTCCATCCATTGGATGGCTTCCAGTTTGGTGGCAGCCTCCATGTTCATCTCATGCTTGGACTGCTTGTCACTGAAGACAACTGCTGTCTCCAGGCAGAACTGCCACTCTTGTTGGTCCTTTGGGTCTTTCCTGACCCTGATGGACCCCCTGTTCACCTCACCATATGCCAGCAAAGGTGGGCATTCAAAGTCAAAGGATTGATTGCAAGATGTGCAATGCATACAATGCATATTGCTGCCAGGGTGCTCTCCTCATGGCTTCCTGTAATCCAAACCTTGTCAAAATGGCTTGGAATGGCACCCATTCCTCTGTTTCCCTGCTGCCTCAGAGAAACACATTCACAAGTGACAAGCAGCAGGAATGAGGTTGCAGCCAGAACACCCATTGAAACTTGGGTTCTGCCAGCCAAGCTGCCTGAAACTTCAGTCAAGGCAACCAACTCTTTCTGGTAGATGCCAGCCTTCTTCAGGTCACCCCTGTTCTTCAAAAACACAGCCAGCAGCTGTTTTTTTTTTCTCTTCACTCCCTTTTCCCTTACAGTGGGTGTTCCACAGCTCTGTGGCTTTGGTGTCCTTCAGGGCATCCCTTGCCCTGCTAAAGCGACCCCAAAGGGCTTCTCTCTGGCCTTGGGTGAGGCTGTCAAGGAAAGTCTGGACATTTCCATTGGCTTTCTTTTGGAAGGCCTCCATCTTTTCTTCCAGGCTCAGGTCTGCATCATTTTTTGGCAATTTCAAAATGGAACTGGGCCTTTTCAAAATGCCTGGCCCTTTTGCAAGGCTTTGCCCTTTTGCAAGGCTTTGCCCTTTTGCAGGGCTTTGCCCTTGTGCAGGGCTGGTCTCTGTTTGCTTTGTTTTTTTTGCCACCTTCATGGCCTTGATTGCCTTTCCCATTGCCTTTGCCCTTCTGCAAGGCAAAATCAAATTGCAGGTGTCAACCTTGAGCTTTTGAAAGCTACAGATTTTTCAAAAATGAACACCAATCAAATCTACCCAGAAAAACAGCTACCCATCATATGACATCATATGATGCAATATGATGGCACCACCCATCATATGATGGCCACAACCCATCATATGATGGCCACAACCCATCATATGATGGCCACAACCCATCATATGATGGCCCCACCCATCATATGACATCATATGATGCAATATGATGGATCACCCTTTTTGTGGTCATTTTGGGGCATGTTTCAATTTTATTTGACTACATATTTTTTCCAAAAAATGATTCCAGATTGAACAGCCCAATGATTTTTTTTGCAGCCATGCATGGATTGCTCATGATTTTTTTTTGGGGGTTGCCCAATGATTTTTTATTCAAGGATGAGTGTGCTACTCCTGTGTTTTAGATGCCAGACCCTGGGCCCAAGCTTCAAGTCACACCTTTTTTCTCCACTGCTCAAAGTGCAGGTGGTGGTCTAAAGTTCCTTTAGAACCCTTTTCAAAAAAAGGCATGCCATTTTTCAAGGCTTTTTGTTTGCCCTTTCCCAAGGCTTTGGCCCTTCCTCAGGGCTTTGGCCCTTCCTCAGGGCTTTGGCACTTCCTCAGTGCTATTTTTTTCTTCTATTTCCTTTTTTCACCACTTGAACCCAGTCACCATTGCCCTGGTCCACCTCCTTTTTCACCTCTGGTGCAGCCTTAGCTCCACCTTTTCCCTTTGCCTTGGGTCTGGCACCCTTTGGGGCACCTTTTCCTTTTTCTCCATCTGTAGATGTGCTGGACTGGTCAGAGTTGCTGCTGCTTGTGCTGCTTTCTTCTTCCTGCTGCCCTTTCTCAAGGCCTTTTTGCCCTTTCCCAAGGCCTTTTTTGTGAGCATTGGCTGGTCCTGGCCAAAGCAGCCATGGGAAGTATATTGAACAACATGGGTGTGAATAAAAAAAATGCAAAATGAAAAAACATGCAGTCCTGCAGGAGCTGGTGCAGATCTGTGGGACTGGCATGCACCTGCCAGGACAAAAATGACCTGACTGAACATTGCACAGTATCATTGCCAGGCCTTTGGGGTTTGAAGCTTGGGATCCAGCTGCAGTGCTGGCACCATACCCATAGCCACCTGCAACCAGGCAAAAAATATATGGTGCATTCAAAATTAAAACCAGAAACAACATGAATCAAATTCCAGCCTTGTGTTTGCCACTGAGCTGGCCACTGGTGTGGCTGTACCCACTGCTGTGGCTGTACCCACTGCTGTGGCTGTTGCCATTGCTGTGGCTGTTGCCATTGTTGCCACTGCTGGCACTGCATCCAGTGGGCCCCTTGCTGCCATGCCTCCTGCTTCTCCTTCTCAGCCTTTTCTTGTTTTTCTTTCCTATTCAGCATCCTCTTGAACCTGGACTGGCCCATAGCAGAGAGCCTCTGCACTTGGTCCTCCAGTTCATTCTTGGGCTGGCCTTGGACCTCCCTCACAGCTGCCAGCCTCTGTCTCTGCATGGCACTGCCTGAGGTCAGGCTCTTGCCATTTTCATCCCACCTCCCTCTCCACCTCTCACTCCTCCATTCTTCATCCCTCCATTTCTCATCCCTCCACCCTCTATCCCTCCATCCTTTTTCTTCACCACCACAGGTGTCCCACTCTTCCCAGTCTTCCCACCCATCTCTCCATCCTGTTTCCCACCCCCCATCATCGCTCCAGCTGCCCTTGGGCATTGGCATGGCCTGGTTTTTGCTCTTGCTTCTGCTCCTTTTTGGCGACCTAGGTGGTGAAGGCCTGCTATAGTCAGGTGAGGAAGGTGATGAAACCATCCACAGCCCTTCCACAAGGCTTGGCCCTTCTTCAGAGCAGAGTGCCCTTAAGTCAAGGGAAAGAGAAAAACTTACAGCTTTAGTAGCTTGAGCCTAAAAGTGAAACAGGTCATGCAGCATTGTTTAGGTTGCACTTGGCATTGCTTACACAACATGTTGTTCTTGGGTTGGCAGCAGTACCTGGCCATGTACTGCAAAACCTTTTTTCCTTCCATGTATGCATGAAGAATGGTGTTGCTGTATGTACAGTAGTTACAGCTTGTGCAAAGCTTTGGTCTATGCTTGCACAGCCCTTATACAAGGCTTTGCCTTTGTGCAAGGCTGTGGTGTGCGTGCTTGCACAGCCCTTTTGCAAGGCTACTGCCTTTTTTCAAGGCTACAGCCCTTTGCAAGGCCATCCACATCATGCCTTTTCATATTTTTCAAACAATTTCAGCCTGGCAGCCAACACTGAGCCCTTGGTGGCACCAGCCTCTTTGCAAGCAGGCAAGAGCTCCTCCACCAGCTGCTTGTGGGACACCTTGAGCTTGGTGGCTTGGGCCAAGGACACACTGACCACAAGCTTCTTGTCAGTGTTGGGGCCCAAAGGCATGTGTTGTATGTAGGACTGGTTCTTGCCACCACCTATGCTCAGGGTCTCCTGAGAAATTGGTGTCTCTGGCCCCAAGCCTGTGCCCATTGGATTCTTTTTCACTTTTGCTGCTTTGTCTTTCTTTGCTGCTGGTTTTTTTTGGCAACTGTCATTCTTTTCATTTGTTTTCCCAGCAGGCCTTTTCTTCACAGGCTTGCCAGCCTTTTCCCTCCACTTGGCTTTGGTCACAGGAGGTGGGCTCCCAAGCAAAGAGTTGCTGGGTGCAGCAGAAGCTTCAGAAGCCTCAGGGCCTTCAGGAGCTTCATCATCAGAACCAGCCTCTGTTTCTGATGCAGAAGAGGTGGCCAACATTGCAGGCCAGCCATCAGATCCAATTGTAACATCTGACACCTCTTTCTTCAGCTTCCTGGTGCCTGATGCCGCACAAAAATTTGTTTTCCCAGTCTTCTTGTATAACCCAGTGAGCACTTGGAGCTGTGCTGTGTCAAGCTTGGCGCCAAACCTTTCCCAACTTGTTGGGCTGGCTGTCACCCTCCTCCAGTGTTTAAGGAGGACAAGTATGCTGTCAGCAGCCCTCCCAGGTAGCAAAGATGCTTCCACCTCCCAATACTGGTTCAAGAGTTCAGCTCCAAACTTGTGGACAGCCACTGTCAGGCTGTGCTTCAAATTCCTGTACTTGATTTCTGCACTGGGGCTGACTTGCACCAAAGCCTTAATGAGAGGGTGCAGTTTGAAAATGGCCCTGGGGATTTCAGCTTGCTGTGGCTGGAGATGCCTGTAGTCCATCAGGTTCAATGCTTCTTTCACACCAACCTGCCTGATGTGACTGTCCAAGGCATCATCTAAAGCATTTTGGTCAACTTCAGGAAAACTTTTTCTCCGCTTGGGTTGTGGATTTCCTGAACCACTTTTTTTCTTGACTGGCTTCATCAGGACCATGCCCTTCTACAGAGCTTTGCCTTTCTTCAAGACTTGGTCCTTTGCAGCAAAACAAAAAATGAAGCAAAGCTTTCAGCTTGAGCCTGTACTGCAAGGGAAATGCAAGGGAAACAGCCTGACACTGCACACCAATTGCCTTGCTCAGTGCTGTGTTTCCATGCCACACTGTTCTTACATGTCAGCTTGCTAGCTTTTCTACCCTTTTTCAGCTGCTGTCTCCAATCTATGCCCTTTTCAAGGCAATTTCACAGCCCCTTTTCAAGGCAATTTCAATGCCCTTTTTCAAGGCAACCCATTTTTCAGTGAGTCCAGTTTTTTTTCACTTAGCTGGACATTTGTCTATTGGGTTCCAATATTTAAAATAGGACCCACTTCTTTGGAAGGTGTTTCTCCATTCCCTTCCACATTTCCAGCACCTAATCCCCCAGTCTGGTTTGCCCAGGTTCCTCCTCCACAGCCAGGCATCACAGGACACAGTCTGGCAGTCCAAGTACTCCCAGTAGGCCATGGCCTCTTGCATGGTCCCAGGAAAAGGGGGTCTCATCAGCATGTCTAAAACATCCAGCTGTGCTTCATCAGTGTTTTGCTCTTCCTCCATGGCCCTTCTTCAAGGCAATGCCCTTTTCAAGGCACTGCCCTTGTTCAAGGCTTAAAAAAAAGGCGACTCAGGAGCCTGGGCCAAAAAGCTAGGTTCCAGGGAGACCAACTTCTGCTGCCACTGTTTGTTGCATGGCCATTTGAAAAGAAAGCAGTTTGAAACTCAGCCAATTTGCAACAGATTGAGAACAGCCATTTCACCTTATTGAAACAGCATTTTCCACATATGTTGAAACATGTTTCAACATCAATTTCAACATGATATTGTTGTTTTTTCAATATGGTATATTGAAATTTGATGTTATCTCTGTTGAAATAAATTTCAATATCTATATTGTATTTTTCAATAAACCCTTCATTTCAATATATGCATCAAATTTCAATAACTATATTGAATCTTTTCAATAAAACCCTGACCCTATCCTACCCTACTCCTGACCCTACTGAGAAAAAAAAAACCACCCTCCCTTAACCCTATAGATTACCTGCCTAACCCTCCTTCTCATTTCAATATATGCATCAAATTTCAATAACTATATTGAATCTTTTCAATAAGGCGTACTCTGGGACTGTCGCACAATCAACATTTTCAATCAGTTTCGTTCAGAAACTTGTCATTTGTTTTGACTCCACAAGACGTTTTCACAACTTGTCGGATCTACTAACCGCAGAATTTTCTTTCCAGCCACTTAGATACATTCATAGGTTTCGACTTCTGTGAAGAGCTGTGTGCTTGCAATGCCGGTTTTGAAACGACCATCATCGAATTCTTCGGCAATGCCCAAAAAGAAGCCAGCCAAGGAGACAATCCCAGGAACAGTTGCATGTCTCAGGAAGGGGATTCAAAATGATGATGACAATGCTGATGGTGATGAAGGACAGCGGGACAAGTTGAAGGCTGAGAAGTGGGCAAGACTTCGTTCCACTGGCGCACTTCCGGAGTACTTGCTGCAGCTGTACGACCAGGAGTCAAAGCAATCACCGCTGGGGAAGCGGGCATTTCAAACCACAATCATAAACAAACTCTTCAAGAAGGTCAACGGTGCCTGGCAATTGGACACGAGTGACGCCCAATTCAAGGATTACAAATCTCTCTACGAGCGCCGCTACTCGAAAGAGGAGAACGAAGCGATGCCGAAATCGTTGATTGTGGGCCTCTATTATCAGGGGGACGAGCAGAAATTTAACCGAGCTTTGGAATTGGGCGAACTGCAGCATGTCAAAGATGACGGCGGTGTGCGGTTCTACTCATAAAAGAAGCTCACCTCTGCAGTTGAGAAGGGCAGTGATCAGAGGCTCGAAGCCATTGGGACGAAGAAAGGCAAACTTCAAGAGTTTCATGAGATTGGGAATCTTTTGTCCAAGCTGAGCTGGACGTTTCGCAAGAAGCCAGGAGATCAGAAGGAACTTACTGCTGGGAGCCTCCCCACTAGCTACGAGGCCTTGATCAAAAAAGCACATGGAGCTTGTGACAAGTTGTCGAAGGACACGCTCAAACTTCAGAAAGAGGTGGGGCATGAGCGCAAAGAGATCATGAAGGATGGATACAAGTCCATGACTGCTCACTTGGCCACTTTGGATCACATGAAAAACTTTGTGGAAATGCCAGATGGCACGAAGCTCACCAGCACGGTTTTCGAATCAGCTCTTGGAGATATCGCTTCTTCGGTTGACCAGCTGAACACGAAGATTGAGGAGATCAAAGGCTACATGAAGTCCAAGGCCAAGTGAGTCTTGATTCAAGTCTGTGTGAGATATCCACAGAAAATTTCCCAAGGGCCTGAATACAAATGTTTGAGTATGTGTGTGAAAACCACATAAATTTTGTGTATCTGGCCGTCAACGGTGAGTCAAATGCGATGGGGAAAACAGTGCAAATGCGTGACAGTTTTTCTGTATATGCTTTGAAAACAAGTTCTTGTCAGAGAAACACTCTGTGAAACATGTGTGTTCATGCTTTTTTTACAATTAAATTGGGACCCAAGGTGTGGTGGTATTTACAGTTGTTTAGTTTTGTATATAGTTTGCCTGGTTCTAGTGTTTGAAAAGAACTTTGCGATAACCATGTGGGAAAACGTTGTGTCAGACTTTGAGAGAACTTTGAGGGATCTTTGAAAGAACCCTGAGAGAACCTTGAGAGGAAACCCCGAGAGAACTCTGAGAGAACTTTGATAGAACATTGTGACAGGACTTGGACGGACTACTTTGATAGAACATTGTGACAGGACTTGGACGGACTCTCTCTCTCTCTCTTTCTCTCTTTCTCTTACACATTTCTGACTGATGTCTTCTCATGCAACAAATTTCATGTACACAAATTACTTTGATGCCCTCTGTGCAGTCGTACTGTCTAACCGTGAGCGAGTGAGAGTAAGATTTGGAGTGAGAGTGGGTTACTTTGAGAGAGGAAAGAGATGGTTTACGGGTATCACACTGTGTGACGAATCTGGTTTAAAACCTTCCATTTTTAAACATCCAGATGCTGAAACAAAAGAACACAGTATCAGAATAGTGAATTATGATCCTGGAAATCGATTATCGAAAGACTTTTTCAAACATGTTCAAACAGTTCTAACACATGTATACTGTGCCATTGGTGACGTAGCATTTTCCTCATATCAATTTCAAACCCTTTCGTGTAGTTGTGGACTGTCACTTGAACCTGCGGCCATGGAGAGCTTCCAGCTGAAGAACCTGAACCCTGCGCAGCTGTTTCAGCTGTTGTTCATCACCGTGCTGGAGCTGGCAGAGCGCTTCCAGATCAACCTGAGGGGGCAGCCGCGTGTTTTCATGGGGGAAGAACCTGATGAGGAAAATCCACCAGAAGCTGTCCAGCCACCACCGGTGCCAGCTCATGGGCCAGTACGTGCTCGCAGATGCCACAGTGCCTGCCGCTTCTGCGTGCAAGGCTGCGACCGAACGAAGCCCTACCACAAGCATCATGCTTGCCAAGGACATGCCCACCTGAGGATTTGAACTTTGAACAAGGTGAGTTTGAAGTACAATAGATTATACAGTATTTAGCAATTCATGCAAAGTTCCAACCTTGAACCTTACAGATCTTCAGGGAATTGTGGAGCGCAGAGAAGAAAAAAGGCGGTCGCATCCTAGAGAAAGTCGAGAAGTTTTGGGTTGAAGTTGGTTCACTGTGAGAGAACTTTGAGAGAGGTTGTCGTGTTGTGACCTGGTTTTTTTTTGAGAGAGGTTGTCGTGTTGTGACCTGGTTTTACTTAGAGAGAACTTTGAGAGATACTATATCGTGTTGTGACCTGGTTTTGCTTTGAGAGAACTTTGAGAGAGGTTGTCGTGTTGTGACCTGGTTTTACTTTGAGAGAACTTTGAGAGAGGTTGGACTTGTGTAGAAGGAAAATGTCCGAAAGTTCTAGGTTTGAAGGCTGTCAAGATGGTTGCACGCTGACTCTCAAAGTGAACATCAACAACACTCTCATGGTTAGGACACACTCTCATGGTCGCCAAAAAAAACAGGAACAAAATGTGATATCCACTTTCTCGACCCCGTATGCAATGTTTTTATTTTCAGATCAGAAGAACAAATAAATATGTCGTATAAATATCCAAACCTTTCAACACCATCATAGAGTATAAGAAGAGTTTCTTGTCAGGGCCACAGCTGTGCACCCCATATCGACATACATCTGAATTAGATCTTTGCTTAGCACCGCCATGGTGGCGCACATGTCTCGAAAACGTGATCGTTCTGGTGGCCAGAGGCAAAGACTGCGACGCATGTTGCAGGAAGAACAGCTGAACTGCCAGAGCGTTCTCTGTACTTGGTTGTTGTCAATGTTTGCATGGGGACACTTTAGCGTGCAACGAGTACAAAAGATCAGTGCTTTGGCTATGAAAGATTTGAAGAGTGCTGAGACTTCTGAAACAATCTGGAATGACTTGGAGACATTATCCAAGTTAGGAACTGAAGGTCTGTACGCGAACAAGATGCACACGGAGCTCATGGGCAAATGCAAAGGCTTGTCTAACCTACCGGAGCCTTACCCAGTGGATATCCAATATGCTCCGCCTTTGGGCATGCAGAAACAGGATGTTTTTCTTCCTCATGAAGTCTTCAGCGCAATTTATCACAAGTATCCACAAACTTGGCAAAAAACGATGGTACCGTCGCAGGCTCACTTGGAAAGGTTCTGGACAGTCACCGATGGCCATCCAACCTTGGTTAATTCCCCACTGAAAGAATGTCCTTCTTACAAAACGAAAACTGTACCTATCCTGCTGCACGGGGACGGGGTTCCAATCGTCGGAATTGGAAAGGGATGGTCCAAGATTGCAACTGTGTTTAGCTGGGCCAGCATGCTTACATCTTCAGGGACCAAGGAGTCCATGAAATTTATATGGGGAGCTTTCGACAAACTCTGCAAAAAGGATGGTGAGGGAACTGATGGTACATTTTCAACATTTTTCAAAGTTCTAGTCTGGTCGCTGCAGTCTTTGTATTCGAGTAAGTGGCCCCATCGGGACCACAATGGACACTTATTTCCTTCATCTTCCTGGCGGGGAAAGTTGGCAGGTCAAGATCTGGCGGCAGGTTTCACTGGTTATCTTTTCTCTGTCATTGGAGACATGGATTATTTTTCATCGATACTACAGCTTCCTCACTTTAGCTGGGCAAAGGGGCCGTGTGCACTTTGCAAATGTACCCTTGGTGGAGTGACCACATGGACAGACTTTAGAAAGACTGCGGCTTGGCTAGGTCCTCGGTGGAGCAAAGCCGACTGGTTTAATTTTGAGGCTCGCTCCATGAACCCTTTATTCAACGAATTACCTGGGCAATCTTGTCACACTGTGTCGCTCGACCTGATGCATTGCAAGTACTTGGGCCACGATATGTATTTCTTTGGATCAGTTCTCACACTACTATGCCAGTACCTCTTGCCTGGAAGCGAAGAACAGAATTTGAAAAGATGCTGGGACTTTTTGAAGCGATTCTACAAGGAGCATTCCATTCCTTCGCCTTATCGATATCTGACTAAGATATCTATGTTCATACGCAAAAAGAAGTTTCCCAAACTACGGGGCAAAGCGTCGGAGGTGCGACACCTAGCGGACCTAGCAAAACCACTATCAGCATTGTGGGCTCATTTCATGAATAAGAACGTGGAGACCCACAGACAAATCGATTTATATCTCAGACTAAATATCCAGTTTGAGAACATTTTGGACGACCACAAGGATGACTATGCCTTACCCCTTGCTGCCTACACTGCCTTTATGAATGCGGCATTTTCTATGATGCAACTGTGCTCATCACTGGCAGACCATTTTATTCAAGAGGGTATACCCATGTTCGACATGACGTCGAAGGCGCATGCTGTCCTGGAGATTGCAATTCTCAGTCGTCACATCAACCCGAGAACTACTTGGTGCTTCCGAGGAGAAGACATGATGCAGAAAAGTCAAGTTTTGCTACAAAGTTGCGTTCGAGGCAACAACGGAGCCCTTTGCTTCAGGAAGATGCTTGCCCACTATAGATTGGGTTTACACATGCTTTTCACTGAGCACAAAGATTGAAAAAGTGACAAAAAACATGGCTTGGTTGTGATGGGACTCTATATGCTGGCGAGAAACTTGTGAACACAGAGAGAAATTTGTCGTATACATACATATCTATATATATATATACTTGTTTATTGATTTATTGTGCATTCATTCGTTTATTTGTTTATATCACAACACTAGATAGATTTCTCCTCTATGTATATCTACATATTTATATTGCAGGTTGTTTATGTCTTTAACTTTTAGGATATGACATGGTTCTTTTGGGATCACTCTCAACGGAGACACGCAGTCACACTTAGAGGGAGAGAGACCTGGAGAGTCATGAGATACTTGGAGAGAGATGGTTCTTCGATGTGGTGTGAGTGTGTTTTCTCTCTCTGTCAGAATTCGTTTATCAAAGGGCCTTTGGCGCCATCCCGACACGTCTTCCTGAGACTTTTGTGATCTCCCGAGCTCAAGCCATGGACGTGCTTTGCGACCGCGATGAGTCCCCGTGGTTCAGGGTCCTTTCAGGAATGGTGTTCCTTATCAATGCTGGCTATAGGGATCGATTTTTCTTATCCCTCATGGACTTGCACCTTGGTGAAAAATAGTACTTGTCTTACTTTTCTTTCTTTTTGGAGTGGATGCTCTATTAAAAGGGTTTTGCCAAACACTCTTGACGTGCAGGCACAAGTTTTACAATGGCTGTCCATGGCAACGAAAGGAGGACCATTCCGCAGGGTTCCACGAACGTTCTCGCTTTCAGTGGGGAAGTTGGGAAATCAAGGCAAGGGGAGTTCAAACATATTTGTTGGGTCTAGGGCATAGAGAATCTAAAGTGTTTTCAAGTTTAGGTTTTGTATTAAACACAAAAAAAACATTGTGGTAAACACCTTCGTTGAATCTGTTGGTGTCCAACCTTGCTGCCAGACCATGAATGGCCTTGTGGTTCCTCGATGGGATCTTTGGATGTCGAACCGTGGCAAAGCTCGAGACTTTTTCGAAAGTTGGCGACATGTGCAGATGCGAGACTCTCCAGGCAGCGACCTCACCTACCAAGTATTGGTCTTCTTGGATCGGCTCTTCATGGCAGGCTTGAAGCTATATGGTGAAGACCACCGAGATGTCTTTGAAAATCCTGAAGACTTCTTTGTGCGAATGCTGCGACATGAAGGGCAACTTGGATACACCATATGAGATTACATTCTTCATCTTTTGATAGATAGATAGATAGATATATATATATATGTGTATTTTTACGTGGTTTTGTTGGATGCAGAGAAAACTATACAATCACCTGACCTCCATACTTTTTGAAAAACATTATGGATGTGTTTTTTGTTTCACTGAGAGGTGTTTCCCTGAATCCAATGAGGTACCATGTCGAAGATCAGAAAATATGGCTTGTTGACGAGAGCAGCGGCTGGTGGGAGGAGAAAAAGCCATGTGGTCTAAATTTGAAGGAAGCGTTTGACTTGTTGCACGATGTGAAACTAAAAGACATCATGCAGCAGTGGGTTGAACCCAGTGCTCCTTCTTTGCAATGGCAATAATGAGAAGTATATACGGAACATGTGCAATTTATGTTTACAAAATATTTCAGCTGGACTGAAACACATGAACACCCACATATATATGTATATTACGATCCTATACAGTATATGAATAATTTCATGATGTTATCATGTGAGAGGAGTGTCAGAATATACAAAAAAAATCCTTGCCTTTGCCGCATATAAGCTTTTTTGCTTTTGAATTTTGGCCGGCCTTCACCCGAAAAACTTCGGTGTTGTGGCAGAGCTGAGACTAGGAATTGTCTAGTCTGGTAAAGATCTGAAGGATCCCTTTTTAGGACCCACAGCTGTTTACAGGACTTGGACTTTTGGATGTGTCCAAATCTGTACTATGTAGGAATAGGCACGGAGACAAACCGATCTCTGGCTCAAAAAGGCAAGCAGTGCTCTTGTGTGTGAGGGGAATGGGAACGAATTTGGGCGAGAACCCTGAGAGAAAACTTTGAGAGAACTTCGAGAGAACTTTGAGAGATTTCTTGGACATGTGTTTTTTGAGAGAGATGATATTTAATGTTGTTTTTGGGAGATATGATATATTTAGAAAGAAAGTATGTTCATTGGATTTCACTGAATACAGCTACGATGTGAACAATGCAAATATTCATTTGGTAATCATACCTTCCTAACTATTTCGATGACACTCTCACAGTCAACTCTCATGGTAAACTCAAACAGTCAACTCTCATGGTAAACTCCTACAATCAACTGTCATGGTAAACTCTCACAGTGAACTCTCATGGTAAACTCTTACAATCAACTCTCATGGTAAACTCTCACAATCAACTCTCATGGTAAACTCTCACAGCCAACTCTCATGGTGAACTCAAACAGTCAACTCTCATGGTAAACTCAAACAGTCAACTCTCATGGTAAACTCCTACAATCAACTGTCATGGTAAACTCTCACAGTGAACTCTCATGGTAAACTCTTACAATCAACTCTCATGGTAAACTCTCACAATCAACTCTCATGGTAAACTCTAACAGTCAACTCTCATGGTAAACTCTCACAGTGAACTCTCATGGTAAACTCTTATACAATCAACTCTCATGGTAAATTCACAGTCAGCTCTCTCATGGTAAACTCTCACAGTCAACTCTCATGGTAAACTCTTACAAAATAATCTCTCATGGTAAACTCACAGTCAGCTTTCATGGTAAACTCTTACAATCAACCCAAATGGTAAAGTCTCACAGAATCAACTCCCATGGTAAACTCTCACAGAGTCAACTCTCATGGTAAACTCTCACAGTCAACTCTCATGGTAAACTCTCATATATTTTGCACTCATATATAGAAAACGCTCAATCCATCAATGCCCCAAGCAAATGAACATGTTTCTCTTTCTCTTCATGTCTGATACAAGTTTTCTCTCAAAATGATAAGTGGGGACAGATCAAAAAAAACTATCAGAGGATGTATACACCCAAAAAGAGATGCCCCAACAAAGGTATACTGTGAGATATACCATGTATGGTGCTGTGCATTTACTGTGAGAGACCACATGTTGATAACATACTGTGAGAGATTTTGAATTATGAGGAATGCCGAGAGAGAGGGAGAGAGAGAGAGAACCACTATGTAGCAAAAGAGACATTGCCTGTAGTATCTTGACCGTTCGTGTTCTAATGCGTATATAATATATTGATGCATGCACTGAATCAAACTGGAACATGTTTACATGACATTGTGTGGTCAGAGCCAATGACAGTTTTTATGATCAAAACATCAAAATGCATCAATATATATGTATATATATTTATCACAACTTATTGCATGATCGTGTGTGTCCACAAAACTAAGAGGCAAATTATCTGTCAAATTTTCATATAAAACTCCGAAGCCAACTTCGAAGTTTTATATCGTGCCCCAGGTGTGACCCCGGAGTTCGTTCGAAGTTTTACTGTCAAAAATAGATATCTATTTCGGCAAATTCTATCTATTTATAGATATCTATTTCGGCAAAATTTATCTATATAGGTAACTCTAAATCTAACTATTTTTTTTGAAAATAGACAAATCAAAATAGATAGATTTCCAGAAAATAGTTTGCAAAAAATCTATCTATTTTGTAGTTTTTAAATAGTCTAAAATAGTTATCTAAAAAAATATCTTATATATAAAAATCTAGGAAATAGTCAAAATCCTAGAATAGATAGGATTTTGTCTAATTCGGTCTATTGGGTGCTACTGCTACTACTACTACGACTACTACTACTACGACTACTACTACTACTGCTACTACTACTACTACTACTAACTACTACTAACTACTACTAACTACTACTAACTACTACTACTACTACTACTACTACATTTTTGTTTTCTTTTTGATCCTTATTTTTTTTTTTGATCCCTTATATTGAATTTCACGAGGTCTTGGGGTTTTGGGATTTTTAGGGTATATTGGGTTTCAAAGTCAAAATGCATCATTTCGAGCAACCTGCGCGCAGAAGGGTCGTGAGGAAAAGTGTTGAATGTTGTGATTTTTGCTGAATCAGTGGTCCACAGGTCCAACTGGCGTTCCAGAGAAACTGAAACAGTCGGAAACAGTCGGAAACAGTCGGAAACAGTCGGAAACGGTCGGAAACAGTCGGAAACAGTCGGGAGCGGCCCGGCCTGATCATGCCAAAATTGTCAATCCGCAATTTTTTTGCAAAAAAAAACTTTCCGCGCAATCCCATTTTTTTTTTGAAAGTGCAACGGGAAACAGTTGGAAACAGTTGGGGCTCGCACCTTTGACTCGGCAAAAAAAGAGCTATTTAAAACCCTTTTATAAAGAAAATTAACCTTAAATGGTTTTAAATAGCTCGTTTTTTGCCGAGTCAAAGGTACGAGCCCCGACTGTTTCCAACTGTTTCCCGTTGCACTTTCAAAAAAAAAAAGGATTGCGCGGAAAGTTTTTGTTTGCAAAAAAATTGCGGATTGACAATTTTGGCATGATCAGGCCGGGCCGCTCCCGACTGTTTCCGACCGTTTCCGACTGTTTCCGACTGTTTCAGTTTCTCTGGAACGCCAGTTGGACCTGTGGACCACTGATTCAGCAAAAATCACAACATTCAACACTTTTCCTCACGACCCTTCTGCGCGCAGGTTGCTCGAAATGATGCATTTTGACTTTGAAACCCAATATACCCTAAAAAACCCAAAACCCCAAGACCTCGTGAAATTTAACAATCCCTTATTTTTTGTTTTTTTGATCCTTATTTGTTTTTGTTTGATCCTCTAGCCAGTGGATGTAACTAAACCAACTTAATAGAATAGTTGGGTTGGGAACATGCAAGTATATAAAAGATGCAGCTATAAAGAACTGCCATTGTAACTAGGAAATTTATCGTAAATCATCAATATTGGGGTACCCAGTGACAACTTGGCAGGAGAGATGATGAGAGAGAGAGAGGTAGATAGATCAGATGGATCCATGTATATATATATAATATATATATATATGTAGTGTGGTACTTTATTATTAGTTCATGTGTTTGCATATGTGGACGTTTCATCGCTTGCAACAACACACGGTTATCTACCCTTTATGTTAGTTGAATCCGCATGTTTGCTTGTTAAATATACCAGTTCACTTTTGTTTTACGGTTTTAGCCTCAATGAACGCCATATCCATTTTTGGGGTGAGAAACCAACATCCAACATCATTTCATGTCAACATCAACATAAACTAACAATATTCTACCCCATATAATCCAAAGTATATTTCTGTTGGTTAGTACATGTACTATGTGTTGGTTTGATGAATATGTTATACTGTACCCATTTTGTTGATATTAAAATTCGTTCAGTATTTTAATCCAGCCCGCATGATATTGTTGAAACCTCAATGATATTCGGGGGGACTGGATTACCAACGAACATAGACGCCAGGTAGGGGGTGAGATTATCTCACCCCCATGATCCCCATTCAATGGATTGGTGTTGTTGGGAAAATCTTCACCGGAAACCATGAAATTTCGGGATTTTCCCAGAAAAGATGAGGGTGTCAAATTGGGTTTCCTGTAATTTTGTCCCTTAAACTCCATTGAAAGCATTTTTGGTTGGAACAAATTACAAATTATGAACAAATTTTATGGGTTTCCTGTTCTGAAAGGGACTTCAAATGTAGTATCTGTTCCTATCAGTGCGATCATTGATTAGGCAGTGCATTTACCGATGTATCCTGAGGCTTTTTGTGTCAAGGAAAATAGGGGCGTGTGACCTCAAGAGGGTTATGAGCCCAAGTGGCGTCCCTGTGTAGCTTGCTATGGCTAGGGCTTCCTCTGAGCCACCTATGGATGTTGGTGGGGTCGCAACAGGGAATCCTTTTTACTCCAAGAGAGTTCAGATGGCATGTGAAGTAGAAGCTCTTAGGCCTAGTGGTTTGCCCGAACAGACCCCTGGCTCCGATGTGCACCAGCCGCTCAGTGATGACAGAAGGCTCACAGGACAATGTGTGGGCAAAGGTCGGGGAGGAGGGCAGCCATCGGGCAGAGCAGCATGCTTCTCAACGCCGCCAAGTAAGCCTCTTGGAAGTGAGCGGGATGAGACTGGGGTGCGACAGTCGGAAGGGAGAATGCCTGAAGAAACCGAAGTTCAAAAAACTATGGGTAGACTGAAAACTGGTGATGATGCGAAGTTTTCTGACCCTGAAAGTTTGCAGCGGGCCTTAGAGATTGAGGTGGTCTCACAGCTGAGGGAGCAAAATGCACGACTGATGGAGGAGTTAGAAACCTATAGACAGTTGAAGCATACCCCAAAGTCTGGTGATGGGTCCTCTCAATCCTGGGTTGAAATTCGAGATGTGCAGAGTGGTGATGGAATAGATGGCCAGGGTTGCAAAACACCTCGGAACACTGTCAATGTGGGGAATTCGGTGAGATATACCCCAAATGGCACCCAAGTTCCAACTGGCACACCACCGACAGATGAGCGTCCGGAGCCTCCTGCACATGTGTCTGTGCCTCCAGTGCCGCCGTTTCCAACTGGG